ATTAAGTTAAGGCTCCCCCCTTATAATCTTAGAGACCCGCTTTTTCAAGTAATTTAATTAACTAAAAACGCTTATATAAGCAGGATTCTAGTATTCTAATTGGCTGAAATTGGGATAAAAGTGGGTCTTTTGAAATTTGATTTAGTTTTGGGATTTTCGGAAGTTAGCTATTATAGGGCTTTTAGGTACTATAACCTTCTGTAAGCTAGGGAGCTTATAGTTACTAAATAAGCTATACTTAATTAAGCAGTGGCTATTAAGATAGGTAGGAAGCTAAGCCTAAATAGGCAATTGCTTATAAGCTATAGGGTAGGTTGTAAAATCATAGATTAAGTATAGTTATAATTAAGGTTATAGTGGGTTATAGAAGGCTATAGGGGATAGTTAATTGGAAATAGCTGTAGCTAGCGCTATAGGCTAGCTATAAAGCTCTAAAGAGCACCAAAATAGCCACTATAATTATAGCTATAATATTAATAATAGCTATAGTCTTATAAAAGTATTTATTATTATTATTTAAAAAAAGTATAAATAAAGCTTTAATAAAATAAATTTAAAAAGTAAAAAAAATATACTTAATATATTATAATAGTAATTTACTATTATACTTAATTTTTATTTATTATAATAAAATATATAATATTTATATATATAAAGCTTATGTAAAGTTTTAGTAAAGTAAAAGTAATTTAAAAAAAAGTATAATATATTTATTAATTTTTAATTATATTATAAATATAATTATTATTATAATAGCTTATATTAATTTTTAAAATATAGTAATAAAAAAATATTAAAGCTTACTTTTATACTATAATAAATAAATTTTATATAATAATTTATTTTTATTTTTTTAAAAATTATACTTTTTATTATTATAAAGTTAAATATAAGATTTTTATTTATAATTAAGCTTTATTATAACTTATATTATAATAAACTAAGGCTGATATTTTAATAATATTTTATAAAAGAAACTTAAAAATAATTATAAAAAATTATATAAAAGTATATTTTTTTAAAAAAAAGTAATTTATTAATAATTTAAGGAAAAAAAATATAATAAAGTTATAAAGCTAGGGAGTATTATTAATATTACTACTAAAAAGCTAGTTATAACTAAGAATTATTATATAAAAAAATATAAGTTTCCCTTTATTTTAAAAAGGTTAAAGATAAATATAGTTATTATATACCCCCTAGCTACTTATTCCTTTTGTAATAACTAGAACCTCTCCTTAACTATATTACTCTCTTCTACGCCGCCGCTTTTAATAACTCAATATAATCAGCATTAATGTCACGAATCTCCATCACGAGTTCAATAACATATATTTGTCTAGACCATCTGCAGAAGATAAGTTGGCGAATTTATTGGCAAAAGCCTCAACTGTCAATACAAGACTCAAGGCATAGGTCAGTAGAGTCCCGACTCACTGGCAACCAAAGGAATTCGATTATATCCCAGACTGCAGGCCTCCTATAATAACATATTCCGGAGCCTTTGACGTTTACCTATCCGTGCAGATCGCCTCAATCTAGAATACCTGGAGAATCTATTGTGTGATAACGCTTAGAGTGCTGCTGGGGTATCTTGAGCTAAGCGCCGGTAATTTAGACGTCCCAACTAACACTCATTCGTTTATTTGGAAAAATGTTCAGCACATTGTCAACTTTATCTACAAAAGTACCCCTTTCTTCCTTGGAAACCATATCCACATAGGGACACTCCACGACTTCACCAATTCAACCATTTTGCTCCCAAGCCATTATTACCTCAGTGTCAAGAACGAGCCCGCCAATAACCAGAGTTATAGCGGACTCTTGTCACAGAATAAATACATTAAGTATGCCATTTCCCAGGGACCTTGGCATACTTTGGATCCACTCAGCCAACTCCTGTATATTTTCTCATAAAGCCATGGTTCGCCCTTCGCTTAGCTACTTGAAGTTGAACAGCATGCGTGGATCCAAGAGCAGCTTGTGCGGGCCCGCACTCTTATGGGCTCGCATCCCGGTAATTACATTATTGAAAAGAACGATAATTAACTATTACGGACTAATACAATCTTTGATGGTAAATACCTCTTTAGATAAGGTCCTCTGCATAAGTATTCCGTAGATGCATCAATTTGCACGACTCTCACTATGTCTAGACGAAGTTGCTGCTCTTCGGTAACTCATGTTTCGCCTTGCACACCGGTACCCGAGCGACCCTCAGGGGTTGCACCATCGTCAGCTACATCTCTAAAGCCACTATAACTTCATGCAATAAAGTGAGCATCAGCACTGGATTCTCCCTTCAAGCCTCGTCTCCCAGCTTCTCCAGTATCAGCTGCGCCTTGCGCATCTGTGTCCAGCCTCCACCGCGAATGGTGGCATACACTGACTATAAATCAGGCCCCCGAGGTCCTGTTACTTGATATTCATGGCTTGGCTTGGAAGATGGCCAAGTGGCCTCCATTATTGATGGAAGCCCCCCTTCCGAGTACTCTGCCCCGGAGGCGTCGTCGAGCCGGGCACTCCCTCCCCATCTGCGTGGCTCCATGGGCCAAGACAGACACTCCCTGGCCTCTTCTACCGATGGACGGAGTGCGTCCAACAAGTCTTCGTTTATGCAGCACCTCACTCCTCACCCAAGGCCTCTGGTGCATCAAGGCCTCTCCCTGGACGCTTCATCCGACTAAAAACCCAAGCAGTATTTCGACAGCCGCGACAGCGAGGGAGGCAGAACCTGAAACTAAAGGACTCGGGGCGCCATTTGATGATCACCCTTCGCATCTCCGCTCTAGCGTTCTCAACGAAAGTGCCGTCAAAGTCATTACCAATTTACCCCCCCAAACAACTCCACTTCAAGTAACCCAAATGCTAGGCCGATATTTCCGTACCCAGTAGTTATAAGGATTACAATCTTAAGTATAGTCGACCTGAGACTCAGACATCTATATGTACGACAGTTCGCACAGCTGCAACTTTCTCGACTTCAGTGCCATGGCTGTGAATCCACTTGGCCGATGCCGTATCGTACCCAGAATCTCCAAGGACGTCGGTAGCTTTACGGATACGGCCGTGGCTGAAAACGACGAGAGGATGAGTTCAGAGAAGTTGGCCGAACAAACAGCGAAAACTCGCAAACAAACAAGCAGAGAGCTCCATCCGAGCCGCTGCCGGTATTGCCCTCAAGAACGCCCTCACAGCCAGACGTTTCGCCGGGCAACAGGAGCTGCAGACAGAATGGCTTTACCGGCCTTCTCGGTTCTTCCCTGCTCGAGATATTCGCACTGAGGCAGACACTTTATCCTTTTGGAATATCTTGATCTTGATGCTTGCATCTTCACGCCAGACAATGCGCATACGCGCTCTTTTGTCCATGAGTGCGCCTTTGGCCTTGGCTAGTATTTCGAGCACCCGACTGTTAGCAAGATGGCCGCAAGAGCCTACTTTCAACACTCTCGAGCGGCAGTTGCTTGTCAACAATTAAGCGCGAGCGACAAAGCCTGGCCCTTTGTTGATACCTGCGGCCGTGAGAGAAACACGTGTCTGAGTATTACAGCTTAGCCCTGACGCAAAATCTCGCAACGACACCAAAGCTGAAGTCAACAGTTTGCTTCCCTTTACGTGCTGCTCACGTTTCTGTATCTTGTTATAATACCCACTGCGAACCAATCAGTCTAATAGTTTGAGACTTCTGAGCACACTTGTACCATCGCATCGCAGGTTGATCTCTATTGGTAGCGTCTTGCATAAATTATTGAGGGCAACTTCTTTTTCTCTACTGATGACAATGAAATTACAGCAAGCGCCTTGACTAGAACCCTCTAGAGAGGAAGTGATCGTTACACTTCCCCAGAGAGCAACGCGGATAGCGTCGGTGTTGGATTTGAAACAGAGCCTGACTTTGACTTTGCTGTTACGGGTGGTTTTGTCGATACTGGCAATTATCTTTGCGTCCCTCGTGAGCATCCCGCATTTACTAGCAGCAAACAGGCGTTTCCTTCATCGCCTGATTCTCAGCCTTTATGGCTTGTTCTATGATGCGCCGTATCTCTAGGCCGTTCGAGCACTTCGGCCGCCTCTCCGATTTCTCCATAGCTTAAGCGACACTGGCAAAGATCATTGCTATGCACATCCGCATGAACTATTGGCAAGCAAGATGATGGCGAGCCAGATACTTGACGTCTCTGATCGTGTGTCTCTTGGGAGCGGTTGCTGATTTTATTACGTTATGGCCTCTGTACTCGACATCGGGAGTCCCCAGGCACGGCAACATTGAGACATTTTACTCTTAGTTTGATACTAGTCAACTAGAGCTTGTGGTTCCCTTTGCTGGAAGATGACTTTGTTGAATTGGTTCACGATCCGCCTCAAGCTTTGTTCAAATTCACAATGTTGTTGGCGTTCGAGTTGCTGTCAGAGTTACTCACAACGTCCCACGAGGCGGAGGTTCATCTACTTTCCTAGTGTACCCTCTGCTTTTCTGTTTCTCCTTCTACCTCAGGCCATGAATCTTTCGCCGTTTCCTTGGACGATCCTCTTCCTCTTTGTCACTGGTGTAACTCTGAGAGGATGCTCGTTCACGGCCGCGTAAAGTCTCCATCGCTGATTCTCCGGCCAATATCCCTCTCTAACAAGTTGGAGTGGTGTGAAAGAGGGCTTATGATGGGGGCTTGACCAAGAATACCATCTTCAACATCTACCTCTGTATGCAAGCTACAGCTCCAAGCAGCTTTTTCGCTGTGTCTCTGGTTCCAAGGTGCCAGCTTATGGCCATCCCGGCATTGGACGCGTTCAGTATCGATTCCACTGGACACTACGGCGTATATTTTAACTCCCTGCCACCTTACGCGCCCTTGACTACCTGAATATAACACAAATGGTAAATAAACAACTGTTGGTCGATAAGGAGCACAGTGAATTGACGGGCAAGTGGCGACTGTTGCACAAAGAAAAAAAATCCCTTTCCCATATAAACAATCATTTTTTCTTGCCATCTTGCCATCATGCTCCCATTTGCTCTTCTTTTCTCTTCCGTCATCATCAGGTCTCTGCTTGGGCATCGCCTGTGGCCATTCATGTTCCGGGCTCCCTTTGTCTCGGTAAGCTTAACGTCTTATCTCGCCAGTTTTAATGAACTTCCCAGGGCATCTGGAGCCGGAGTGGCCAAGGAGATTGCCGACTTTATCTGTGATTGATGTGCCTAGACTCCCATGACATTCCAGAAGCCGACCCTATCGATCGATATATTTTCCACACAACCAAGTCCTTTAGCCATCGGGCTATACCGTCATGACGCCGCGTCTACCCCCCGGTAGAGTTCCTCCTTTAGGCTTTTGATCCAGCCCCCATCCGGGGCAACACATTGTAGCGATATCGGACCTAAATCTCACAAGTGTTTATTGCGCTTCTCGATTCAACTTCCGTCAACTGACAAGGTCGTCTCTCTGCAATCAAGAAAGATTGACCGCACTTTTGGGCTGGGCTTTACCGTCGACATCCCTCTTGGAGAGAGCAATGAGGAAGATGGTTTTGGTGTTATCCACCAATGTAGGTGCCCTATTGGGCATTGGTCTGGAGCTGCTCTAATTATGCTTCTTTTCTAGATGACCGCGCCCTAGAGAAATACGGGAGCAGACAGTATACACCGGGATGGCGCTGGCCATCGGAGTACGAAGCATCCCTGTGGCAAAGCACAGCTCTCACCGACGAGCAATTTGAATTCACCGAGCTGCACCTGGACGAGCCAGTGTAATTCGACCGAGCAAGAGGGCCACACGTCTTCCCGCGAAAGCGAAGCACCAGGATGTTAATAGATCATACTGTTGAGGGCAACGCGCCTCTACACAGACGATAGGATTCAGCAACCGCGTGCCCTTTGACTATGGTATACAAGACGCATCTGCCAATTACATTTTTGACATTAGCATGAGTGGTGAAATCCCAGAAACATTGGACACAAGCTGACTGTTGCTGTTGACCGCTATTCAACCCGTCTAGTATTTGCAGATAGATACTACCTGAAGACTGCAGAAGAGCCAGTGCATCCAGCCCACGGGTAGCATCCCACAATGTGATGATGGATAGAATGGCCACATTGTTTGTCGTGGCCGTTGCAAATGTCTGAAATGTAATGGTCGTACAAAGGACACCAAGGTTGTGCTACAGTCGACAGAGAAACAATGCTGGACGCGATCAAATGGACTTGTTGACTCAAATTTCGACCTCGCTACTGTCGGTAGCAGGATAATTTGAAGCCCAGGACGCCCCAACCCGTTCGCAATACACGCCATCTTCGCCTCTGAGCTCAGCAGAAAGGTGTCGGTCGGTCGCTTTTGTCTCGACCGCTGGCAGTGAAATCGGGACCAGCAGTGGCATCCAGTTCGTCAATGAACATGGCCTAATAGAGGACCGAGCGTGACTATTGATGTAGAGGAATATGTCACCAAAAGAGGCCAGTCTTTAAAAGGTACGCGTTCGACAGACATGCGCGACGACTCGATGGCTGGGTCTATTCCATAACACAATGGGAGTCAGCAGTCTGGACCTACTTGGGGGAAGGATAAGCGCGAGAATCTGACGAGGTAGATGGCTGCGTGAACATCCATGGATCTGCCACAACCAAAGCATCCAAGAGGGTGTGCGTTTGAACCACACAGACTTGTGGAGTTGCTCGTATGTCGATGGCTAAACGACGGTATGAGGTCGTAATGCCAATGCATCAAAAGAGAACGCCATGTGAGGCCGGCGTCTCTTGGCCGTCGTTCTTCTCGTAAGGGCAAACGCACGTTGTTATATCGAGTCTCGGGTTGTTCGTTTCGATGTTGGGCAGAGGGTAGAAGATACGCTTAGCGGTGCCATCCATGGGTTGCCATTTGTAAGTAGAGGTAAAAGAGACTTTGCGATGGCGGATGGTGTTTGACGGTATCTTGTTCTTCTTGGTCACCTCTCTATTCAGTAATCTGGCAGCTGTCGGACGGTTCAAATTCTGCTGGCGCTCACCACATACTCGCTGACGCGTCACGAAGGAGAAACCTACGCGTGCTATGCGTGTGAGAATCACGATTTAAACCTTTTCTCTCTCTCTCTCTCTCTTCTCACCTCTCTCCTCTCTCAGGCATCTCGTGCCACCTACCAACGCCGCCATGATGACGGATGCTAGACTCGCCCCTCGCGAACCCAGCATCACGGGGTTGAAGCTGGAGATTAACGAAGACAGGGATACACTCAACGCGGTCACAGCAGATACAGATACAGCACTCGTTTCCCATGAGCCCAGCGTTACGAGCTTGAAGCCGGAGATTGACGACAACGACGAAGGCTTACCCGACGCTGCCACAGCAGAGACGACACTCACCTCCCGTGAGCCCAGCGTTGCGGGCATCGATTTGAAACAAGGCGTCGACCAAAAGCTACCCAATGCCGACATTCCAAATGGAACACTCGTGCCTCGCGAGCTGACCATCGCGAGCCTAGACCTCGGCAAAGATGACCAAGATTTCGCAGACGGCATTGCGTGCGTACAAGCATACTGGGAACAAGCATCGCAAATGGACGAAAACACGCAAGAACAGATGAGGCACCTCATCATTACCAAGCAATTTGCCCTCTCTTTATCCGCACGCCAAACTATCACTAAGCATCGACTGTACCGTGGCCTGACCAGAAAGGATGAGACAAACACATGGCCCATCTTCTTGATGCTCAAGGCAATGTACAAGAGCCTGCCACAGTCATATGTGCATAAACTCCGCGCAAAGGGATTTGTTGTCGATACGGTGGACCATACCAGCGATTACATGGCCGCATATCCCGACACCATCCGACCCCGAGTCTTCGACACCGATACAAGAAAGGGCAGGGAGTACAGGGGGATGTGGCCAAGCCTGAAGAACACTCCCACCATCTACCGCAAGTCGAGAGCCAGGAACGACAAACAGCCCGACAGCAAACAACCCAACGCAACTGCGACTGAAGCAACGGTGAAGACGAAGCCAGCGACAATTGCGCCTCGAGACACAGCTTCGAATCGCGCCACATCGCCGCTTTTGAAGCCAGCAACGATTGCCGCGTCAACTTGTTCGACTGCACGGCAATCCGATAGACGTGGTAAGAAACGTCCAGCGGCCGATCCCACTGGCGATATCCCGACGAAGCGATCTTCCACGCGAGAAGATGATTTCGAGTTCGACAGCGTCTTGATGCAAATGACTTTGCCAGGGGTTCCCAGCGGCTCGACGGCTAAAGTGGATGTGGAAAAGGAAATTGCCGACTTGAAAGAAGAGATGGCCAAGATGCGCCAACAGACGCACATGTTTATGAAGGTTACGGCGGACGTTGTCACCTCTATGAAGACGGAGATTGAAGACCTCAAGGAAGGAATCAAGGCGCTGAAGAAGTAATAGGGGATATGATGAGACGATGGGGAAGATGGAAATAATGGCAAAGACGGAGAATTACTTGGGATCGTAAGCGGGATATGGGCATCATTCAATCTAGATCATAATCACCGGGCATAGATGCACCTACATACATTTCATAAATGGAATTTGTGTTTTTCTGATACCGCATACAATCACTTGAATATAACTTGTTTAGGGAGTTGCGTTATAATTTCCAAATGACAATGAGGACCTACATGGTTTCTTTCTTCAGCATGATGCGACCATGGACACTGAAATACACTGGTAGGGACTTGTCCAAGTTGGGAGGCTTAAACCCTCGTTCAGATAGAGACCTACACAATATACACACGATCCCATACATCCTAGCTACTCTGTGGCCCAATGGACTATCCTGTCTCTAGTCGAAAGTCCGACTCGGCATCATGGCGTTGGCACCATCCCAAGTCTGACAACGTAACGAAACACCACCCTTATAAAGGACCATACTGGCAATGACAGCACATTTCGACACAGACCATGGCGGTTTAATATTTTGCTTGTTGGAGAAGAGTCAGAGCAACGTCAAAATGGGCTGTAACAAATCGCTAGTCTAACTGCTATATACTCCCAGTTTTTACATCCTTGTCCATGATAACGCCATCTCGTGAAAACGATGCCCAAGATCAATCTACAGCTTGGCAAACAGGCCCTTTGTTGCCCCCTTGCCCAGTTGGACCAACGTGCTCTTGACCCGCATATACGCCATGATGCCCTCGAATCCATTTTCCACGCCAACGCCGCTCATTTTCCATCCGCCCACGGGCATCTCGGCTGGAGACTCGCCCCAAGTATTGATCCAGGTAATGCCGGCTTGCAATTCTCGAATCACGTTTTGCGCCAGACTCAGGTCTGTGGCAACGACGCCGGCCGCCAGACCCATCTTGGTGTCGTTTGCGCGGCGAATGAGCTCGGGGAGCCACTCCTCCTGGGATTTGCCCTGTGTCTTGTACGGCAGGACGGCCATGACGGGGCCGAATATTTCTTCGCGCACGATCCGCATATCATCGGTGCAGTTGGTGAAGATGACTGGCGGGACCCAGTATCCGTCGGGCGTGGGCTTGTTCTTCTGCGCGTCGACGGCACCGTCGTACAAAACCTTGGCCTTGTCGGTTTCTTTGCCGTGGCGGATGTACATGTTGACCTTGTCCCGGTGAGCGGCGCTGACGACGGGGCCGAAATTCGTCGTCTCGTCTTGGGGCAAGCCCATGCGGATGCCCTCGCGGCAGCGTTTGACGAGAGCCTCTTCCACGCGCGACAACAGCGTATCGGGGACAAAGACGCGGGTGCCATTTGTGCAGACCTGTCCGGTGGAGAAGAAGTTGGCTGCCATGGCAATGTCGGCGGCTTCGTCGACGTCGGCATCGGGGAGGACGACGAGCGGGCTCTTGCCACCAAGCTCCATGGTGATGCCCTTCATGCCCTTGGCAGCCTCGCTGGCGACTTTGCTACCTGTGCTGACCTGGCCTGTGAAGCTGACCTTGGCGATGCCTTGGTGGGCGACGAGCGGAGCACCCACGCTGGCGCCATCGCCGTAGACGACGTTGAACACTCCAGGTGGCAGGCCGGCTTCGACGTAGATTTCGGCCAATGTGTTTCCGTGGAGAGGCGTCACCTCGCTAGGCTTGTAGACCATGCAGTTTCCGGCGGCGAGACAGGCAGCAGACTTCCACAGAGCGATCTGAATGGGGTAGTTCCAGGCGCCAATGCCCGCGCAAACCCCTAGAGGCTCGTGGCTGGTGAGGACGTAGGCATCTGGCCGCAGGGTAGTGTGCTGTCCGGGCTGGCTATTGGCAATAAAGTGTGCGTAGTACTCGAGGACATCGGCGCCAGTCACCACGTCGACGGTCGAAGTCTCGGACCAAGCCTTGCCCGTGTCCAGCATCTCCGTGCGGGCGAGGGCATCGTTTCGCTCCCTCAGGATGGCGGCAGCGCGAAGCAGAATGGCGGCGCGTTTGGGAGCGGGCGTCTGCGACCATGTTGGGAATGCCTTGTGAGCAGATGAAACGGCGTCGTTGAGCTGCGACGGTGTTGTGGTGAAGATGTTCGCCAGTGGTTTGGCGGTGCTGGGATCGAGAGACTGGAAGGTGTGCGACCCCGAGGATTGCGGTTGGGGTTTTCCCGAGTGGAAGGTGTGAATCTCTTTTGAAAAGGTCATGATGGACTCGATGTTCTGTCACGGGATTGTGATTGATTGACACCTTGAAGCTTCAAGTTTGGTGTTGTCGAGTTGAAGTTGGGAGCTGGACAGTGACGTCCATCTTGGCTCCAACAGGTACCAGCACAAGGCACGGGGAACTCCGTTGGTCTAGTAGCAAGACATTTTACAAGTACGAGTACATGTGCCAACCACTCCACCGCCACGACGGCGACAGTTACGAGTACTAGCCCAGGACATGACAAGTCGGCCATTGTTGGTGCCATTTACGGAATCAACACTGTATTCCGTCTGTCTCGCCTGTCAGGGACGCCGTTTGCATTACAGGCCGCTGTGGGGTGAAGACGCTGGGGCGAAGCGACTGCTAAGACACGCTACTGTCGGCCGTGAGAGCATTTACCTGCATCCGGCAACCAGTCGTAAGATGATGGGGACCAAGTTACGGAGTATGTCCTTGTAGGGAGTACAGGAGAAGAAAAAGAGAAAAAGAGACACAAGAATCCCGCCATACGTCACTGATGGATCCTGCAAAGTGAGAGATGCCAATGATCCCGGTCCGGCGGTGGGGGCTCCGAGACGATTGAGCCGGAGCGGCTTGGCAAAAGATGCGAGTGGATGCACGATCGGTCAGGAGAGGCCGAGGCCTGCCATTGATGCGGATATTTGACGTGTACGAAAAGGAGAAGGGAATCATAAGATGGTGTGTATATGGATGTGAATGATGTTACAATGAACAGGTAGTGTATTGGTATAATCTGGACATCGAACAAGAACTTTGTCGTGGTGATGATACTAAGTATAGGGTGGCTCGGATCCGGAGTCTCGTGTTAATCACCAAGATGCATCAACACCGTCAGTTCAGCTGAAGAAACCAACAGACCGCCTGATGCCACACTATTACTAACAGTTGAGACCATATTCTGCTAGTACAGTACAGCCCGGACTGCGCTTGTAAAAGATGATGCAGCCACCGTAACAATAATTGTTCCGACCACAAGCCAAAAAAAACTCTGATAGCACAAGCAAATGCCTTTTCGATGCAGAACGACTCGACTCGAGGCTTGCGAGGCTCACTGCAAGGTACATGGATACGTACTCATGTCAAGTGGGGCGATTGGGCCCACATCTCCACCAATCGTTATCCATATCCCGGCCCCAGCCAATCAGCTCCCGCTTTACTGCCCGGATCAACTTAGCCCCGCCTCTCGTTCCACGCTCCACTCCGCCCTCCTGCATCAATCAGCTAAGCAAACGCCTCGAAATAGTCATGATCTTCACCAGCCAACGCTCGAAAAGGCTTCTAAACAGCACAACCGCCAGCCTCTCCCCCGCAACGGATTTGCGACGAGTCCATCTTTGCCCATCCACAGCCCACGCAAATGTCACTCTTGGCATAAGATCATGTACTCGCATGTACTCGTACAGGAATCCTCGGCCAAGCGGTGGGAATACTGCAAGAGTGGCAGCATCCCTTGACGTCATCCCCAGCACGACACACTGTGCCCAAGACGCCAGCCGTGCCACAGCCAAGCCAGCGGCTCCTTTTGACAGGAGCCCTGAAGATCGATTCGATTGGGCAAAGGCGTCAGATTCTTCTTTTTTTTCTCGCGTGTTTCTGTTGGCTGCGTTGGACGAGCAAATGAGGCAACGACTCCGTCCGCCTCAGCCCACCGGCTCACTCACTCCTCCTGATTGCAGACTCCACCGCAAACATTCGAAAACAAGCCATTGCTTCTCTGTGACGAGTCCGTTGCCAGCCGTGCCCGTTAGCGTCAATGGCGGATTTGGTCTTGTTCGTACCGTGGAGGTGGCTTTTGGCGCAACATGTACGAGTTCGAGGCGAGTCAGCCTGTTCCGTTGTGCTCATAAATATCGCCGTCTTCCTGTCACACTGTCCACCTGAACTTGAGGCTACTGATTCTGCTGGATACAGACATCGTTTTCATTGCAGCCTTGCCTTGGGAAATAGACAACGAAGCTTTGTTTCAAAACTCAAGTTGACGCTGTGAACCCAGATCTGAATTTGGCTTCCATGCGTGCGTTTTATACTTTGAGGACAACGCCGCAGCCAGAGTAGACCATAAAAGACTTGCTCTCCCCACAAGACATCCCCCTTCTTCCATCTTCTCCAACCTTTACGACACCATGACTACCCGCTCCCTTCCTAGCAATGGCAGCTCTGCCTTTGACTACATCATCGTTGGTGGAGGCACTGCGGGCTGCGTGATTGCCTCCAGGCTCTCCAGCTATCTGCCCGAGCGCCGCATTCTTCTCGTCGAGGCTGGTCCCTCCGACTTTAACCTCAACCACGTCCTCAATCTGAGAGAATGGCTGAGCCTGCTGGGCGGCGAGCTGGACTACGACTACGGCACGACAGAGCAGCCCATGGGCAACAGCCATATCCGCCATTCTCGTGCCAAGGTTCTTGGAGGATGTTCGTCACACAACACGCTCATTTCCTTCCGCCCTTTTCGTCACGACATGGACCGCTGGGTCGCTCAGGGCTGCAAAGGCTGGACCTTTGAGAATGTGACTCGTCACATTGATAACCTTCGCAACACGTTCCAGCCTGTCCACGCCCGTCATCGCAACCAGCTGTGCAAGGATTGGGTCCAGGCCTGTGCCTCTGCTCTCGACATTCCCGTCATTGACGACTTCAACACCGAGATTCGCGAGAGAGGCCAGCTCACACAGGGTGCGGGCTTCTTCAACGTCTCGTACAACCCGGATAACGGCCGCCGAAGCAGCGCCTCTGTCGCTTACATCCACCCTATCCTGCGTGGCGAGGAGCGGCGGCCAAACCTGACCATCCTGACCGAGGCTCACGTCTCCAAGGTTTTGGTGGAGAAGGATGTTGCCAGTGGTATTGTTCTGCACTTGGCGTCGGGCGAGAAAACGGTGCTGAAGCCCCGCAAGGAAATCATCCTTTGCGCTGGTGCTGTCGACACGCCTCGCCTGATGCTTCACTCTGGCCTTGGGCCTCGCTCGCAACTCGAGGGCCTAGGACTTCCCGTCGTCAAAGATATTCCCGGTGTTGGCGAGAACCTGCTTGACCACCCAGAGACCATCATCATGTGGGAGCTCAACACGCCAGTTCCCGCCAACCAGACCACCATGGACTCGGACGCCGGTGTCTTTATCCGCCGAGAACCCACCAACGCTGCCGGCAAGGACGGAGATGCCGCCGACATCATGATGCACTGCTACCAGATTCCCTTCACGCTCAACACTGAGCGCCTGGGCTATCCGAGGATCCGCGACGGCTATGCATTCTGCATGACTCCCAACATCCCCCGGCCTCGATCTCGCGGCCGCATCTACCTGACTTCTGCCGATCCGGCAGTGAAGCCGGCCCTGGATTTCCGGTACTTTACCGACCCCGAAGGCTACGACGCCGCCACTTTTGTCGCTGGAATCAAGGCTGCCCGCAAAGTTGCCGAGCAAAGCCCCTTCAAGGAGTGGCTGAAGGAAGAGGTCGCCCCCGGCCCCAAAGTGCAGACGGACGAAGAGATTAGCGAATACGCTCGCCGTGCCGCCCACACTGTCTACCACCCTGCCGGTACCACCAAGATGGGCGATGTGGCCAAGGACGAGACAGCTGTCGTGGATCACGAGCTCAAGGTCCGAGGCATCAAGAAGCTGCGCATTGCCGACGCCGGCGTGTTCCCCGAGATGCCCTCCATCAACCCCATGCTTACGGTGCTGGCCATTGGTGAGCGGGCGGCCGAGCTGATTGCCATGGAAGAGGGCTGGAAGCCTAAGACGTCGAGACTGTAGATGAACGACCACACTTTCTCATTGGACGGAGTACAACCGGAGTTGGCACATGGATTTATTTACTAGATGGTAGATTAAAAAGGGACGAGCAGCGCTTGGGGTATTGTAGACCTGCTGCACGATGGATTCGTCGCCGCCTGTATTTGTTTCTCTGACGTCTTACGATAACGATATCCCTGGATAGAAGAAAAGAATGATCATCTCAACGGTATTAAATGTATTTGATTCTAGAGCCGTAATGTCAATACTACCACTGTCGGCTGACAACACCAAAATGTCGCACTCTCTCTGTATATATGTATCCCAGAACGATTCGATCTAGGCATATTGAATCATTTCTTTTTGCTGTTGCCAGTCACCCAAGTCGATGCCCACGCTTCCATCTCTTCGCCCTCTTCGCCATTTAATTCCTCCAAGTATGAGACAATCTCGCCAACCAGATGAACCGCCCCTTGGTCGGATAGTCGCTGACGAGACCCAAATATTCCAATATCGAGACTCTTACCTTGTATCGATGCCTCAATATCTATTGCAGCCTATAGTTGCAAAGTTAGCAGTCTATTATAGCGGTAAGAAGTCGAGGAAATACTTACCGGGAACGTCTCTCTCACGGGATTCTTCAACAGACAAGGGTGAAACGATACTTCTTCTTCCGCCTCTTGAGCAAACTCTTCGTTTTGCAGCGGAATAAGTCCAATTCTTGTTGAATTGCCGTTTGGTGTTTCGGAGATGGCATCGGGAAGGCTGAGGAAATTGACAAACGACGTGACCTTGACACCTGTCCAAGCTGCAACCTCCCATAGACCGACATCGGCACGGCCATTAGCAGCGATAACGTGAATGTCATTCTGTATCATGTCGGCAATTTCGAGAATGCTGTCGTTGGGTGCCAGTCGAACCCTCAAAGGAACAAGATTGAGTGTTAGGAATGTCAGAGGAAGAGCTTCATCTGTTCGATTGGCAAGGTAAATCCCAAACACGACAGTCTTCTTTCCATCGTCTGTTACTCCAATATTTCCTGCTGCAAGAATCTTGGCATATGCTGCAAAGAACAGCGCTTGCAGGCTGACACCTTTGTCTTTGGCCGCCGTTTGAAGGTATGCGATATTCGATACTGCGGACCGTCGTAAATGCGATACTCGGTGTTTGCCCGCCATGATGGAAGCAGAAGAGTCGCCATCTGAGGAGCAGCCTTGCAGATACAATGTCCAAAAGGCTCTGCGAGACTGCCGGGAATCTTCAAGAGATGGTTGGATGGTGTATCTTGACCATTCGTCGATCCCTTGCTCAACTGCGAGAGTATTTCCTTTGAGAAGCTCCGACAAACGATTCATAATTACCGGAATACTGACGCCGTCGTAGAGCGCATGGTGAATCTTTAGCCTGACTACTATTTTGCCATCTTCTCTTCTGACAACATCGAGGTTCGCCATTGGCTTGATGGCAGAATCATCAGACTGGTGACTGGTCTTGAGAAGGGCCTGTAAGAATGGCTGCTGAGGAGAGTCTGTGGCAATGAAAACAGTGCGCAGAATCGGTGTCTGAGCAACTAGAGACTGCCAAGCCAAGTAAACATCTTCAACACTAGCAATCCCCTCGACTAGATACTGAAATTCAGGGTAAAAGACGTTGCCCTCTGCATTCTGCCATGCACTGATCATGTAAACTTGCATAGCCAACGCTGGAAGAATCACCTCGACATCATTTTTGGAGATGTGCGCATCAGAAAGAAGCTCATCAACGTCGATGTCTTCAGGGGTCCACGCCGTTACTTTTGGGTGGATGGTATTGCCGTTTGTTTGCAGAGGCGTCGCAAGTTGCGCCATTTGGCTGATGCTCGTCGCTCTGATGAAATCTCTCGGGTTGAGGTAGAGACCTTCCTTGCGCAAGAGAGAAGACAGCTTGATGGCGCTGATGGAGTCCAGGCCAAGATGATAGAGATTGCTCTGGGGTCGGATGGACTCTTCTGGAATATCCGACACGTAACTGAGGATTTTCCGGATTGTTAATGCAGCTTCGTCAAGTTCGTCCTCTGTTTGTTCAATAGCTAGGCCTTGCCCATGATCACCATTGATTAGAGGCTCATCCTCAGCCAGCGAAATGAGCGACAATCCACCTATCGAAACACCATCTTCTTGGAATGAGAGTATCTCGAGCTCTTCGGAGTATGTCAAAAACTCCAAAACTCGGTTCAAATCTCCCAACAGCCCTTCAGCCCCATCCTCCGAGATGAATTGCGACTGACAAGCGACTCGCCAAACGAGATCATCACCAACAGCTTCCGCCTCGATGCTCACAGGATAGTCAACGGCTGAAGCACCATCGACAGATTTCAACAAGGGATTCGCAGATGAGCTGTACGGAAACTTTTGGAGCATAAACAGCGTGTTGAACAGTTCGCCGCTGGACAACTGCACCGCGTTTTGAATCTTTCTCAGGGGATACGATTGATGGTCCCGGATATCCGCCATGCTCGCTTCAAGGTATCGTAAAAAAGACACAGAGGTTCCATGTAGAATGCATCTGAGTGCTACCGTGTTGATGGTAGCAAACATTAAATCTTCGGCCCCTTCGAAATCGCGACCGGACATGACGACGCCAAACGTCACATCCAAGGCCTTGATCCGGTGAGCGAGTACGAGAGCCCAGCAAGCCTGGCATAAGACTTGCAGACTGATGCCCTGTTTCTTGCAGAAGGAGGCGATTTCGGACATGTGTTTGCTTGCGGAATATTCTCTGCGATGCAGGGCTTTGTCCACGCCATCCTCTGGTCGTTCGGGGAGAATCGATGGCGCAACACCGTCGAGATGGCCGGCCCAGAATCGACGGGCTTCGTCAGTGGCCGAGGCAAGTATTCTTTGAAGAAATGGTTTCGCAGATGTCCTCGACTGCAGCTGACCATGATATGCCGTTTCTAAATCTCGGTAAAGCAGACTCAGAGACCATCCATCATACAAAGCATGCGCAATCGACACAAGAACAAACGTCTTCTCTTTGCACGTCACGAACTTGAGCTGGAATAGAGCATCAACTCCGCTGCTTGCTCTCGCGATCCGTTTTGCATCTTCGATAAGAGCGCCCATCTCACCCAAATCTTGCACTTGGACACTGTTAATTTTCTGGTTCCAGTACTTACGCACAACCTGGCAGTATGCCATCTCGAGCTGCAAATCATCCACTTCAAGGAATCCCGTTCGAAGAACCGGCGACTGTTCGATAACCGCAAGGAAGGCTTCTCGGAGTTTTTCAGCATCTATCCCCGCCGAAATCTCAAGAAGATCGTGGTTAAAGTACCACTCAAAGTTAGAGTGAATCATCCCGGCCGCCATGGACTCTTGGAGAGGCGTTGGCGGCAGCACGTCTTCTACATCACTCGTGTTCAACCCGACCTTTTTGACGTATGACCAGAGCTTCTGCTCAAGTTCGTCGAAAGCAGAGTCTGTATTGCCATTGGATAGTTCTCCAGAGTGCTCCGTCTCAATAGATGCCACCATCTTTGCAATTGTCTGTTGACGCATAATGTGAGAAGCTGGTAGAAAGATGCCTCTTTGCTTGAGCCTGGCAGAAAGCTGAATCACATCAATACTGTCCAGACCAAGTTCAAGAATGGTCTTTGCAGTCGAAATTTCAGCATCGTCTAGGCTAGAAAGCGAGGCGATTGCATCTCTGATGCTGATAGCCTGGCTAGTCCACTCGAATGTTTGGTCATCCTCGTCATCTGCCCACTTGAACCCGTTTTGCTCAACAGAAGGCGGTACTCCATCCTCTTCAGTAGACTTGGGGAATGGGCCATCAGCAACCATGAGTCTGACGCTCTCTTCAAGTTCATCTAGCATTTCTTGAAGCTTTGACTCATCCGCCACGAATCGCTGTGCAACAAGCGTAAGTTGGACATTGCCATCCAACAACCTTTTGGCCTCCAATGCCAATGGGTAATCCGGATTCAAAGGCCCATCTGCTATTTCCCAAAGATTCGGCTCATCCTTTGTCTCCCGCTCGACCTCAAACACAAAGAGGTTGTCGAATAATTGCCGGCCGCCAGCACACCACTTCTGGATGCTCTTCAGTGGAACGTGTTGAAATGGCAATATGCTTGTGCCAAACTCGCTGCATTTGCGGATAAGCGACGCCCAAGTTTGGCCATTCAGCGTCTTGTTGAAGAAGGGTACAGTGTTAAACAGCGGACCTATTGTGTTCTCGACGCCAGGAAGATCCATTGATCTTCCAGAGACAATCAGGCCCATTGTTAGCCCATCAGGATAGTATTTCTGAAGAACTGACGCCCACAATGCCATAATGACTGGCTGCAAAGTGACTTTTTGTCTCTTTCGAGCATCTTCCAGTACACTCCCATCGATAATACGAGTTTCTGAGGCAGCACGATCGTGCGAAGATGAAAGCCGAAGAGTCGAAGAACTCGTCCAGCCCTGGAGATGGTTTTCCCAAAAACTGCGGCAGTCCTCGTGCCTCCATAATGGGCCATGGGACAGCGCCTCTATATATGACGGAGATGGTGCAGTAGATTGTCCAGAATAGATGGATTTCAGCCGCTGCAACATCAGCTCGAAGCTATTTCCATCGTACATCGCATGGAAAATGTGGATAACCAGTTTCTTAGAGCTTGTCCCCTTTATCAGAATCGCCCCAAGCGGCGCAATGACATGTTCGCTGTTTTGCTGCACCCATTCTTGCCACTGGCTGTCCAACAACGCCTTGGTGTCCTCATCGTTCTGCACCGTTTGTTCAATCCAGCGTAAGTCCTTATTCTTCAATGTGACTTGAACGTAGCCCTCCGTAGTATTGATGAATGCCGTTCGCAAAATAGACTCGGAAGCTATGAGCTCTAACCAAGCAGCCTTTACTCGCTCTTCTGAAGCATCACCGTTCAAACTCAGAACAAACGAGTTAAAGTAGGTACCTCGAATCTCATCTGTGACGGACTTGGAAATGATTCCCTGCTGGAGGGCTGAACATGGCGCAATGTGCTCGATATCTTCCCCTTGAAGATGTAAGATGCTGCACGCAAGTGCGCGGTATCGATGGTGATATGCCTGTATCAATTGCTGCGACTCTTTTACGCGGCTATCCTTGTGAGATGATAGGAATTGCTCAGAGAGCGCTGCAGTAAGATCTGCGATAACGGGATTTCGCAGTAGAATAGCCGGCGAGCATGCTGCAAATCCTCGATCTTTGAAGAGCGTAGATAGCTGTAAAGCGCTGATGGAGTCCACTCCAAGGTCAAAGATGTTTGTCTCTCCATCAATGGTATCTGGGCTGACACCCGTAAAATCGGACAAAATCTGCATCACCTTGTTGCCCGTTTCGCCATGAACAGATCGAGAAGCAGTCTTTGGCGCGGTAAGATCCATCAACTGCTCATGCGACAAGCCGTTGAACAGCTTCTTCAGCTCCTTCGCTTCGACCTTGTTGTTGGGAGACAGTGGGATATATGCAAGGGCCAAGAAATACGTGGGAATCATGTATCCTGGAAGCTTTGCTCGGCATGCTTCTTTGGCCTTTGTGCTCAGATTCGTCTCGTCCACCAACGGTGCCAATACAGCTTTGGACTGCTGCTCGCCGACTAAGAACGAAACGAGAACATCTTTCCCACTTGATGCATGCTTGATGACGATTGTCGCAACATCTTTAATCTCTGAGACACCAGTGCGGATAACGTGATTGATCTCGCCAATTTCCAAGCGCTGTCCACGGAGCTTGACCTGGTCATCTGCACGTCCAAGAAAGTCAAAGCAGCCATCATGGAGGATACGAACAAGGTCGCCAGTCCTATAAATTCTTTCCCCAAACTCTGAAAGCGTCGGGAATCTTTCTTCGGTAAGCTCCTTGCGGTTCAGGTATCCTTTACCGACCAGTCTTCCAGAAACACAGAGTTCTCCGACGGCACCTCGTAATACAGGAATCTCGGTTCCTTTGCGGAAAACGTAGGATCCCACGTTGAGAAATTGTTTACCAATGTTGCTAGGTCGTCCATTGATGGGCACTCTCTGATACATTGTCACGCCAATCGTCGCCTCCGTTGGACCATACGCATTGTAAATAACCGCCTTTGGTCCCCAGGCATCCAGGATTTCTTGTTTGAGCTGTTCACCACCGGTAATGAACACGCCTTTACACAAGCCCGGTACCTCATCCGGATGAGTAAGGCGAGCCAAACTTGGCGTTAGGTCAATGTGTGTAATCTCCAGGTTGTTGATGGATGCAATCAAGTCATCCAGGATGAGATCTCTTGGAGCTGCAACGACCGTAATGCCGGCTGACCAACTCCAGTATTGCTCCAAGACAGAGACATCGAAATGAAGGGCGGCAAACTGAAGCCATCTTGAATCATCGCCCCAGTGCCCTTTGAAGAGCTCTTGGAAAGCCATCATTGCCTGCACACAGTTGTCGTGCGTGATTTCACATCCCTTTGGAGTTCCCGTCGTGCCGGATGTATACAGACAATAGCATGTCGCATCAGGGGTGAAATCAGCACCCAGGTCGCGTTTCTGATCAGACAGCTTTTCCAAATACTCAAGATCAATACGTACAACTCTGAGGCCTGTATCAAAGTCTATTTTGCCATCCGAAGTTGTCAACAAGCAAGGTGCCAGTGAGTCTTTGAGAATAAACTCCTTTCTGTCGCTAGGAGCACCAGGATCGAGAGCAACAAATGCACATCCAGCTTTGAGAATTCCGAGAATCGAGATATACGCTTCTGGGCACTTGTCAAAGTGAATCGCAACGATGCTCCCCACGGGAGCAACATTGCTTAGCAAGTTGGCCATTCTATTGCCCATTGCGTCGAACTCAGCATACGTCCACACCTGTTTCACCGGACGGGAGCCATCAAATCTGCTAACAAACTCGAGAGCGACATCATTAGGATGTGACAGAGCTCTTTTCTCAACAAACTGATGCAGGAGCTGTACAGGTGCAGGCAGCTCTGGTGAGACGGGAGGTGTTATCGCAAAAAGATCAGGCTTCAATCGGTAGATGCCATCCTCGTCACCGTCAGGCTCGGTGGCAATGTGTGTCATCATTGCATCGAATTGTCTGACGAGTAGCTCTGCTTGTTCTTTTGGTAAGATGTCACTGAAGAATGTGATGCAAATCTGGATGTCGTCATTATGCGGCTTAACCTCCAGAGACACTGGATAATCAACAGTTGCATCGTCGTTTACAAGCTTCCAACGTTTCGAGATGCCAGTCTCAGTCTCCAGCTTTTGGTACACTAAGAGTGTATCAAACACAGGCGTCGCAGGATGGCCCAGCCATTTTTGAATCTGGGTCAGAGGAGTGTGCTGATGCCTATGTGCGCCGGCGTTGTATTCCATCATATATCGTGTCAACTCGGTATTCGATGGCTGATTCACCGCAATGACGGGAATGGTGTTCATGCAAGGAAACGGCGCATCCCGCGTCTCTTCCATACCACGGCCAGAGAGAATGACGCCAAACACGACAGACTCTTCGCCCAAGTACGAGGAAAGGATTCGTGTCCATGCCGCCTGGATGACTGCCTGGATAGAGACGCCTTGTTTTGTGGTCGCCATTTGCAAGGATGAAAGCGTCATAGAAGCTTTGATTTCATGAGAAACCATTGATCTCTCATCTTCTCGCAGAGGTGTCATGATAGGAAAAGTGTTTACCACTGCCATTTCGGCCTTTTCTTTCCAAAATTCTTGCGCAGCGTCATCGTCATTGAGGCTTCTGGATAGGATAATATTCAATGCAGGCTCAATCGATCGGTGATGCATATTTTGCCCAGCTACAAGCCTTGATAGGTCGCCCATCATCTGATCAAGAGATTGCGCATCGTATAGAGCATGGTGTACCAGAACGTTCATCATGAGTTCGCCATCGACCTGGGTCAGAGAAACCCTCCAGGGTGGGAGATGGAGATTGCTTAGGATTGCCGCTGCTTCTTTTTCTTTCCATCCTTGCAGTTTATCCTGTGATTCCAGACAGAATATATGACTGGCTGTCTTGATAGATTCTGATGTAGAGTATCGCAACATTGCAAATGAGCCATGTCGATGCTGGACTGCAGTAAATCCTGTCCGAAGCATAGGATGGTGAATTTGAAGGGCTTCCCAGGCACGAACCAAATCGTCCTCTGAAATAGTATTGTCCACTGCATACGATAAAAGGTTGAGGTAGTTTTGCCCTCGAGACTGGATGAACGATACAAGCATTGCGCACTGAAGGGGGGTGCTCGGAAGGACTGCCTCTATAGTCGCAGTATCAGGCACCTTGTCTTGAATCTGAGCCGAAATCTCTTGTGAAAATTTGTCAAAATTGTATCCAGACGTGTCCTCGCTGCCTTTGGAGAGCACAGATATCCTACCTGCCAATTTGACGCAAGTCTGGCATTCAATGACATCGGAGGCAGATACCTTGAATCCCTCTCGTCGAAGCATAGCAGCCACTTGAACCGCGTTAATACTGTCCAGCCCCAGCCTGAAAATGCTCGTTTCTGGGTGAATCCTCTGGATGGGGATTCCAGAGAGGCTTGAGAGAACTTGGCGAACCTGTTTCTGCACCTCTGTCCATTCTGCGTCATTCATCTCAAGTTCCTCTGATGCTACAAGAGTATTCCTCTTTGCAGTGAGTGTACTTAATACAGATAGATGAGTAGACTGCAGATGGCTTCTATCGGGTAGAGCAGCTGACGGATGATCCAAAATAGTTTGAAAGAAGGTCTTGAATACCTCGGCAAGCGTTGATGCAACATCTTCGCCGAGAGCACCCCTGTCGTAATGCATATTGATCGCGATAGAGTCTGAGCCGGAGTGTGGAACAACTTCGCAGACAACCGGGATATCCATCTCTCCAGTTTCCTCTTCAAGTGTCCATACCCCGGCATCCATGTCCTGCGACGGGCTCTGGAGCAGCAGCAGCGTATCAAACAGTTTGCGATCCTCTCTTGCACCGAGTTTCTGGATCAATCGTAGAGGCGAGAATTGATACCTTTGAACATCAGAGTTGAGGCGCTGAAACGACTTGGCAAGATCAATATTGCGAGAAGAGGTACAAACATCTTTTCTTATTGCAATCGTGTTGAAGCAGGGAGCAACCAGTCTGTCAAGACCTTCAATGTCCAATGTGCGGCCATTCATGACGAGTCCAAAACAGACGTCGGTGGAGGTTGAGCAGACTGCAAGAGTATCTGCCCAAGCTGCCTGACATACAGAGAGTAACGATACTCCAAGAGACCTCAGCCGGGTTTTCACTTCGCCATAGGATATCTCCAGAGTCTCTCGATGCGTGCATTGAACGATATTGCTTCCTGAAGGCTTCTTGAAAACATTCAAGGGATCATAGCCTCGGAAATGATTGCTCCAAAACTTCTCAACATCATCAGGCAGACATAGCGCTTCTTGTAGAAAGGGGGTATAAGAGATGGGAGGAGGTAACTGCTCGCCATGCGCCAGTGCTTCTACTTCCCTCCAGAGATTCTCCATTGCTACTCCATCATAGAGGGCATGATGGCATATGAAAGATAAAAACATCGAGTCTTCCCGCTGTATAATGGCAAAAGAGAGAGGCGGCACTCGTGTATCCAAGGGGTCAGGTACGCCGGCCAAATGTTGATGGACAGCCTCATCGAGAGAGGCAGCGACAGTAAACTCCCCCCACTGAATAACCCAGTTGTCCAGAACAACTTGGGCAATTGGAAACTTGACATCATCAGTAGTGACAAAACATGTTCTGAGGATACTATGCCGCCGCGTCATCTCCTCCCAGTAGCCCTTCATCTCATCAACAGGATGATGAAGGCGCAGAAGAATTCTGTTATAATAACTGCCTTGGGATAACATAGCTTCTTGCAGGGGAGAGCACGGTAATATTTGACCAATCGAGTATGACTCCTGCGCAAAAGATTTGCGGACTTGCTCAGTGAAGGAATCGGAAAAGAAGACTACGTCCTTTGTAGGGCCATGTCTTTCCGAGTGATCTTGAACAAAGCGCGCAAACTGTGTGACAGATGAGTGCTGCAAGATTGCCGAAATAGGAACCCGACGCTCTAGTCGAGCATTGAGGCTGCGAGACACACCAATTGCCGATATCGAGTCCAAGCCGATTGTTGCAAATGGCGTCCAGCGACCAATGTCAGATCGGGGCACGCCCAAGGACTGTGAAATAACATCTGCTATCTTTGTTTCCGATTCGCTCCAGTCTGCATCATCCTGCATATTTACAGTGCTAGACACACTTTCAAGATACTCTTGAGAAAGAGCCTCGAAACAAGACTGTAGTTTTCGCCGATCAACCTTGCCGCTGGATGTAAGCGGTATTCGAGAGACTGGTATCAGATATGAAGGCACCATATACGACGGTAATCTCGACACCAAAGTAGCGTATAAAGAACGATGAGATTCGGTATCAGCATCCAACGTCTTGAACACTTCGTCGGGTCCTTGGGAAAACGTATAGAATGAAGCAAGTTGATCTGCCGCACCATTTTCTCGTCTAACCAACGTAGTTACCGCAGCGTGGATCGAGGGATTTGAAGTTATCACGCTATTGACTTCCCCAGCTTCAATTCGTTGGCCTTTGAGTTTAAGCTGATCATCAATACGGCCCAGTATAAGAAGCGATTTATCCGGAAGCATCCTTCCCATATCACCAGAACGGTAAATGAGACCATAGTCTGGGTGATTGATAAACTTTTCTGCCGTCAGCTCCGGCATATTCAGATAGCCATCAGCGACCTGCTCTCCACCAAAGCAAAACTCGCCTATCCAGCCGATTGGAACAGTGCAAAGGCCGTCTGGATAAAGCACAAAGATAGATGTGTTGGGGAAGCACCAGCCAAGATGCTCGATATACTCGCCCGGCTTCATTCGCTTGACGCTGCAAATATTTGTCGTCTCCGACGGCCCATATCCCTGCCACAGCAAGTCTCCCCAAGAATCGAGAACAGACAGAGTCATGGGCTCTCCCGCTGTAACTAGAAATTCAACGTCGGGCACATTTTTGGGGTCAATTAGAGACACCACCGTGGGCGTCAAACTGAGGTGTGTAATCTGAAACTGGCGAATTGAATGCTCCAGATCTTCAAACAAGTCGTCGTTGACAGCAGCGCAGAGACACATGCCAGCGTGCCAAGTGAAGAAAATCTCAAAGACGGATACATCAAATGCCTGTGAGCAAGCTTGTAATAGTCGGCCGGCCTTTCGTTGAGCGCTAGGGTATACGGATGCGAGATATGTAACATTGTTGACAATGTTTTTCTGACTCACGGCCACACCTTTTGGCACTCCTGTTGTCCCCGAGGTGTAAATCACATAAGCCAGCCTCGACATATCCACTGTCAAGTCCAAGTTGTTGTTTGCAATGTCATCCAACGGAGCTGATTCAACGTCCATGAATTGAACATCAGATATATCCCGAAGTGTGTGTATGGAGCCACTGTCTACCACGCAACGCCTAATGTTTCCTGATCCAAAGATGTCTTTCACTCTCTCAATTGGTGTAGACGGGAGAAGAGGCAGGTATGCACATCTTGCCTTGACGATTCCAAGGATCGAGGCGTAGAGAAGGGGTGACTTTTGCATAACGATGGCGATGACTTGGCCTGGCTCGGCTCCTCGACCCAACAGGAAGCGAGCAATCTGGTTGGAGAGTTGATTTAGAGATTCGTATGACATGGTATCCGCAGTCATAGGAACTTCTGAGAGTGATTTGCTAAAACAGATGGCATCCGCTTCAGGAGTTTTCGCAGCCACGGCCTCGAACAAAGTAGCAAGGTCAACCTCGTCTTGTAGTTTCTCAGGGTCGGTATTCGCAACAGATGCCTCAATGGTAATGGCCTCTCTTACCGTCCGAATTGATTCATCAGGTTGCTGAATGATGTATTGGAAAACCGCCTTGACTTGCTCAACCAGTATTTCTACCACGGCTGACGGAAACCAATCAGTATGATACGTAGCTTGTATGGAAAACCCAGCATCATTCGGCTCCACCTCCAACAGCAGTTTTGTTTCCAAGCGGTCCAAGTGTCGAATTTCTCTCATAGCCGCCTCCTTTCGACTCTTTGTATATAGAGATTCCTGGTAAACGAATAGCACGTCGTAAAGCCCTTCAGTCGCCTGCAATCTTGACAGCTTCCTAATTTCTGACAGCGGCAATAGGCAATGCTCCATGATTTTTCGATTACCCTCGTTGATGCTCCGTAAGACATCAGAAATCGCAGCAGAGTCGTTAATATCCACTCGGAGAGGAAGTGAAGCGATACTTGGCCCAACAATCCCTTCGATATCTTCTACCGGAATGGTTCGGCCAGACGTTACCGACCCCAGCAAAACATCCGATGTACCGGCGATACTACCCCAAATGAGTGCCAGAGCTGCTTGAAAGTAGACTTGGGCGCCATATCTTGTATTCGTAATAGCATCTTGAGCTGCCTGTGAGGAGATATCAAGCTGTGACTTGAGAGACAGTGTCTCATCAGACTCAACTGGCCTAGCACTCAGCTTCGGACGACTTGGCTTATTCCAATCAACGAGATATTCAGCCCAAAATGACCTTGCATTGTCCAATTCGTCTCTTGGAATGTTGCTCGTATAAGCGAGGAGGTTTGAAAACTGCGGTCGATGAGACAATGGCCTTTCGCGGATTATATCAGTCAGATCCGAGAGTATGATATCCATAGACCAGCCATCATAAATAGCATGGTGGATGTTAATCAGGATGCGCGGGCCTGCATCAGATCTGGCCTGTTGAATCTGTACTCGAAGCGGACGAAGTAATGCTTCGTCTCCAGATAGCTCTGGCTGATGAAATTCTTCGACAATTTGTATCTGGTCGAATTGTAGTGATTTAAATATTGGCGATACAAAGCCACCATCCAAGCTAACGAACCCTGCTCGCAAGATATCCCTCTGCCGCGCAAGCAGATGAAAGGCGTCATGTATTGCCGTCGCAGTAATTCCAGGAGTGGCCTCGAGCTCTATCTCGTTCCAGTAAGCTTCCAGACGCTGTGCCGTCTCCGACAACATCGCCACTTGAAGTGGACTGCACACCAGCACGTCTTCAACAAGCTCCAAGTCCTTTTGTAAAGCAATATTGCTTTCCGCAATTAAACTCAGCTTGTCCATGAGATGAATATCAACCAATTGTGTCTCATTCTGTGAAGGAGATGAAAGAGGCTGTACTGTAGAGCAAAGTTGTGCTATTGTCTGCATGCTCAACAGCTCCGCAACACTCACGCCGAACCCTGACGAACGAAGCGATGATGCCAACTTGATAGCAACGAGAGAATCAATCCCTGCGGAAGCCAGAGTCATATCATAACTTGCTTCAGCTCCCAGGGTATCCGATATGACTCGCAGCATAGTCTTTTCAATGTCAGACAGGCCAGCTGAGGAATTACCCTGGCCCTTGCCAACCTTTTGCTCGATAAACTCCGCTTTCAGCCTCTTGGTGTCGACTTTGCCGCTCGGCAGCCGAGGGAACTCGTCCATTAACACTAGTTCTCCAGGCATCATGAACTGTGGAAGCCAGCTCCGACAATGGTCCATGATCAAGTCTTCCGTGACGCCGGTATCCGCAACGCAGAATACAACTAGGATGGAATCAATGACGGCGCCAACAGCCAAGTGGCATCCAGGGGTTTTTAATACAGCAGATTGAACTTCTCCCAGCTCAAGCCGCTGACCGCGGAGCTTTACCTGGCCCTCGGATAAGCGTCCATAAATCTCTATGTTCCCATCGCTGCTGATGCGCGCTTTGTCTCCGGTCCTGTAAATTAAGCCATAAGGTGAGGGTATAAAAGAGGAAGCCGTCTGCTCCTGTCGGTTGAGATATCCATCGGCAAGCTGGTAACCTCCAACGGCAAGCTCTCCAACTTCTCCTTTGGGGAGAATCTTGGCGTCTCTACTCTCGTCCGCAGATTCGGCAGGCTCAACTATAAAGCACGATACGGTGGGTAGCGGTACGCCAATATTTCTTATTGAGGACGTAGAAGTGAATTCTTCTTGTACAGTGCTATAAATCTTGTCAGATATACGAACCCCAAATGCAAGCTTCAATACACTTACCAGTGAATGGTGGCTTCCGTCGGCCCATACATGGCCCATAGTAGACTCTTCCTATCTTGGCTCCCGCCAAATTCCCGTATTACAGGCTCATTGAGCATCTCCCCAATCGTCAACAGCAACTGCAGCGTCGGGACATTTTCTCGTCTCCGCAAAAGGCTGGCCGCAACCGTTGGTGTCAGCTCGCAAGCATCCACACTCATCTCCGAAATGACTGCCGGCAGGTCGTTCAACATCTCCCTTCGATCGACACTGACCAGCGTGCTCCCCCGAAACAGCGGAAAGAAGATTTCAAACACCGAGACATCAAATGTCGGAGCGGCAAACTGGAGGAAACGAGAAAACGTCGGCACATGCTGGTTATGGGCTAGCAGCGCCTGTGTTACTGCAGAGTGCGAGATGCCAACGCCTTTTGGAACCCCGGTTGATCCAGATGTATACATGACATACGCCAAGTCCCTCGTGCTGGGAGCACGACAGTCGACAGAGTCTATATCTAGGCATGGCTCCTCTTCGTCTTCAACTATAAGCACCTTTATGGTGCTCTGGGGAGGTATACGGGAGGCCAGCTCCGCGGATGCCACGACCACGACCGCAGAAACATCGTTCAATATAAAGTTGACTCGGTCCGGAGGCGCATCCACATTGAGCGGGCAGAATGCACCTCCAGCCTTTAGAATAGCTAACAAGGCTATGTATAAGTGTGGCGACTGGTGAACCAGAACCGGAACCACAAACTCATCTCTGGATTCACCAAATGCACGACATATCCTGGCCGCTAGGGCATCTGCAGCATCATGGAGCTGGCGATAGGACAGCGATACGCGCTTATTCCCGCCGAGGTAGTCCAAGGCTATTGAGTCGTCCGGCTGTCTGATAAGACGATGGAGGAGATCCGGGCCGGGTAATAGTGTCGGGTGTGGGTTAAGCACAGATAAGTCAGCGGGTGCCTCCATCGTGCACCGTCTCGTGTGTGTGTGTAGCCGTGTGCGTGTATGTTTTTCAAAATGTCTCTCAAGACAAGTCTGTCAGAAAACCCTGGCCGGAATAGCCCTTTCTCTTCGCCAACCAAGTGCTGATTTCCACAATCACGGCCATGAAATGCTCAGAGACATCAAGATCGCAATCTACCTACGAGAAAAATGTTTGCATCACGTCGGCCCCAATATGCGAAATAGCCTCACGTTCGTTGGTCACTCAAATTGCACTGCCCGCGCGCCATTTAGCCAAGACTGAGCCACGCGACGTGTAGAAGCAGAGCGAGAGTGTGAGACAAGTTATCGACGAATTGGCATGTCGATGATTCGCCGATGAAGCTTCCGGGGCTCGTGATTCCCGCGTTCGACGGTAATGCGTCTAGATCGTGCATGAGCTGGGGCTGAAACGAGCCTCTCACAGCAGCGCAATTAATCAGCAAGGCGTAAGGAGATGCGGCCGCCACCAATCGAAATCGTCAGTTTGCGACACTGTCGTAGCCGCTCGCTGTCATGCTGATGCACAGATGGGAAACGTCGGTCGATATAGTTCGTCCGAATGGTTTCTTTACCATGCAGCTGCAGCTTTAGCCTTATTGCAACCGGAGTTCGGCTTATGCTTCGCTTGGCTCGAAAGGTTCCAATAGGTTTCGCTTTCAGAGGGTAACGATGGCGTCACGGGGTGTAAACGGGAGGATGATTTTCGGACCAGGTACAAACAAGGAAGAGGAAGAAAGAGACGGTGAAGAACGGTGAGAGCGAGGAAGCGAAAGGGAAGCGAAAGGGAAGCGTCACAAAAGACAGGCATCCGACAAGGTCAGACGAGAGCCTTATGAATGAAATGGCAAGGCAAATCAAGGCAAGGCAAAGCCACCGCCAGGCACTCGCTCACTCACTAGGCCAGTCCCGTGGGTTACACAGCATCAGGCCCCGAAGAGGGGCGGCCGCCTTGTCTGACATGAGCAACCACTAGCTGGGCGTTTGCTGGCGATCCGCCGTCCGGAGGCTTCAACCGTCTCCAACAAGCCGAGAGAATCCTCCTCGTGAATACGCGTGTGGGGCTCGGTCTTTTTTTCCAATTCACAAAGAGCAATGAAACGACCCCCCTCTTTTTGACGATTGCGTGCCCTGTTTTGTGTCCTTCGGATATATGCAGAGCGCCCAAGGGCCATGCAAGGGGAGACGCGCTGCGTTCCGTTGAGTGCGACGGGGCGGTGATTGACTCTGGCCCTCGGGGCGGAGCAGTGAGGGGTACGAGGATACCAAGAGGAAACTCGTGAAAAACGGCTCTCGATGCTCGGACGGCCTGGTGAAGGAAGAAGAAAAAATTTTCTTGCCATGGCGGCAGCGCAGCAGGGCCCTTGGATTGCGACGGATGGATGCGGATCCAACCACGGGCTTTGATCTTATCAGATCCGGTTTTTATCAGATGATCAGATAATTCCCTCAGTCCAATCTCCACCACGCTTCGTTCTTATGGGGCCTGCCTCCGTGCTCGCAGCGGCTTCATCCACTGAAGGCCTAGACGGGCATGATTTTAAATGAAGGATGGATGTTGCAGATTCGTCGTCGGTCCATAGATCGGCCTTTATGCGGAGGGTCCGAGGCATTGGATTGGTTCATCGAGTTTTGATCGCCTCATCGAAACCCGGACCGGTTTGTAAAGGCGTATAGAACAAGATTGCATCAGTCCACGCTATCGTTGCCAAGAAGAGCCGGATTTTCCTCAGGGCTCGTTTAAGAAGGTCCAGATCTGCACTGAGGAAACAAGCCATCGGCCTGCCGTAGGGTGAACGAGAGAGGGTGGAGAGCGAGCGTGTCTACGGTTTATTGAAAAGCAAAAGCTCTGGATTGTATCCCATGAATCATAGACCACCGTAACTGAGGCATTGTGTCCAGCAGACATGTCGCTGATGGATTCAGGACTAATCCCCGTTTTGTTACGCCATGAGAGATCCGGCCGACTAGGGACAAACTGCCGTGATCATCACCAAGACCCATGTGCAAATAGTAGTCACAAAAACCATCCCACCGTCGAGCTGGCAGGGTGTCAAATGGGCCCATGCATCCATGATTTGTACATGCCTGCTTGCGCTAGCTCCCAAGCTACACTGTGTACGGAGCGATGCCTGCCCGGCATTGGACCATGTTCATGTGTGCTTCTCCGCTCCAAGACTCCGTTGGGCGGCTGGTCTCGGGTCTCTGCGATTCTGCTGCACGGAATCCGAGTCGATATAGGCGAGACTAAAAGCTTGTTCCTCGAGCCAGGTACCGTAGCGGCGAGTATAACTCCAAGCCCATCCCACGGCTGAGCGACTCAAACGGCCCCTCCCACTTTCACAAGCTTTCCAGCAGCTCTGCCCTAGCGTCGTCGGACAGACGGACAGCCACCACTAACACGCTGCTTTGCCGTGTATATTCTCAAGGGCATACAACACGAAAATCGAGAAATTCGAGTCACTCTTTCTCTCCCTCTCTTCGCCCTCTTCTTTTTCCTTGATTTTCATCCTCCTCCTGCTCCTCTTCCTCCCCCTGACGGAAGCGTTGCTCAATTGCCGTCGGGCTTCACCAGAAACGTCACCGTTCCTTCACCCAAAGCGGAAACATTACCTTTTTTCGACGTCACCATGTCTCCCCACAGCGAAGTTGCACTCAACGAGCTTGGGACGCCAAACGGCAGCGAGCCAGCCACGCCCAACGGCAGTGAACAAGCTCACCACGGCGGCTTCGACAGCTCTTCGCCATACATCATTGGTGCCACTGAGCAGAGCAGCAGAAGCCCCGCGCCGTTGGCCAACGGACACCAGTCAGGGAGCAAGATGCACAAGAACAAGTCGCCTTATCTAGTGCAGTCGGCCTCGGATTCCGAGTTTGACCTCATCTGCGTCGGGTTTGGCCCTGCCAGTCTCGCCGTAGCTGTCGCTCTCCATGATGCGGTGGCTTCGGGGCAGCAGCTACTGCCCGATGGCTCAATTCCCAAGGTTCTCTTCATCGAGAAGCAGAATCGCTTTGCCTGGCATGCCGGCATGCTTCTTCCTGGCGCAAAGATGCAAATTTCCTTCATCAAGGATCTAGCCTCCCTGCGGGATCCGCGGTCAGAGTTTACGTTCCTCAACTACCTGCACCGCAATGGACGGCTAGTAGACTTCACCAACCTGGACACCTTCCTGCCAGCACGCATAGAGTACGAGGACTACCTCCGCTGGTGCGCATCATATTTTGAGCACTTGGTTCAGTACGGCCAAGAGGTGGTGTCTGTTTCTCCCGAGTTGAAAAAGGGAGACGCGGTCCGCACATTTGCGGTGCAGTCGCAAAATTCAAAGACCGGTGAGACTCTGGCCTTCCGAGGCCGCAACGTTCTCATTGCCGCCGGTGGACAGCCAAACTTCCCAAAGAGCTTCCCTTCCAAGCATCCCAGGATCATCCACTCCTCCCAATATGCCTACATGGTGCCAGAGATCCTTTCCAAGAAGGATGCTCCCTATCGTGTTGCCGTTCTTGGTGCGGGCCAAAGCGCTGCCGAGATATTCCACAACATCCAGACGCTGTATCCAAATTCCAAGACAGCGCTGGTGATGCGGCCCGAGTTTCTAAAGCCCAGCGATGACTCTCCTTTGTAAGTTTACCGTGGTAAGGTGCATACTAGGATGCTAACATGGTCTGCAGCGTCAACTCAGTCTTTAACCCTGAATACATTGACACGCTCTTCCCCAAGTCGGCGAGGCACCGCAACAACTTCTTGGCTGAGGCTCGGGCTACCAACTATGGTGTTGTCAGACTAAATCTCATTGAGGAGATGTATGAGCGCCAGTACGACCAAAAGCGAGACCTTGGCACAGACGAGAAGAAGTGGCCTCATAGAATCATGGGTGGCCGCCAAATCACTAGCATTGAGCCACGGGGGGACACCTTGGAGCTCAAGGTTCAGCACGTCTCAGACAGCGAGTTTGAAGGCTTTGTCGACCTTGTCGATGAAGAGACCCTCGAGGTGGATCTGCTCATTGCTGCCACTGGCTATCAGCGCAATGCGCACGTCGAGATGCTCCGCAATACCTGGGATATGCTGCCCAAGGCTTCGCCGGTGGGTCAAGAGTACAACAAGGGCATCACCGGATGGAAGGTCGAGACAGACCAAGGCGAGCGCAAGTTGGCAGTTGGCCGAGACTACCAAGTCAAGTACAAGCCCGGATCGATAGCAAAGGAATCGGGCATCTGGCTTCAGGGATGCTGCGAAGGCACCCACGGGGTAAGTTGAAGTGTGTCCGTGGTGAGAAAACAGTGCTAACGGCAAACAGTTGAGCGACACCCTCTTGTCAGTTCTGGCAACGCGATCGGCAGAGATTGTAAACTCCATCTTTCCCAGCAACCAATGATGGATAAAAGGGGGTTACGGACGCGGAACACATTAGATACCCACGAACGACCATGGACTAAGCCAAGCGTTGAGATGGCTGAGGGTGAAGTGTAGGTGGGTTTGAAGTTGGGCAGATTGAGAGTTTTTCCTTTGGTGGCGTAAAATCATTTTGTGACGGTAGGCTGCGATTTGTTAGCATCAGATCGCACATGTAGAGATATGGCTATTCATCTATACAAACAGCAATAAGGCTTTGTTTTCCTTGCCACAGATGGCCATGACGTGGAGTGAGAAAATGGTGATTTTTTGCCTCAATTCCAGGGTAGGGCAGAGGGTCAGGATTGGATTGAGCATTGTACGAGTAATTCACTGCGTGTTGCGTATTGCGTATTTGAGTGGGTTGTAGGATCTAATGTGAAAGATTTGCCACGGTGAATTTCGTCTTCTGGATAAGCACCTCTTGGCAGCTGTTTTGCTCCATCTGGTGGCGGTTTCCTTTCAAACGAGGGCTGCTCACATGATTTACTACAAGGTACTACGATACTTGGATGAAGCTGTACAAACAGCTACCCTAAACACAGCCGCCAAAAATGCTTTGAAACACAGCACAATGTCTGGTAGTAAGCAAAGAATGCATTGAACATGTTTTCCTGTCGTCCAGTATGAAATCGGAAAATGCAGCTGGGTGGCAGCATCATCTACGGTGGCGTTTCGAGCCGGTGCCGAGCAGCAGCCAACGGTTGGTGGGCCGCCATGACAGACTCGGGGCACAAGAGAATACCGAAAACTGTGAATGGTTCGACATGAGTCTCGTGTTTATTTTGGTCACAGACGCCGTTTCTTTTTCTGCAACTTGGTGAGAGAAAGGACTCGAGCGCTGTCCGCGGAGCTTTGCGAAACAGCGCAGCGCGATTAGAATGGCCGCATGCCAGTGCTGTAATCAGGACGATGACCGAGATGGACGCGCAATATGGTGGATGCTGGCTGCATGGTGACGCGAGTGCGCCGTCTGGGAGACGTAATTCACCGTTGCCCTTGCGCGGGCAGCTGACAAAAGAAAAATCGTCGAGGATGAGGGAAAAAAAGGGACGCCGTGAAGTTGGGATTTTGGGAGCAACCGGTTCGATTCCAGACAGAGAAGCATCGGCGTTGCACCTTGTATGTATAATTCATGTAGACCATGTGCGGTTCTGTTTTCTCACATTAGCAGCAGTGGCTGAGTTACAGATTCCGTGCCAAGTGCATGCAAGATCCGAGGCTGTGCTTCCCGCAGAGCCCTACTAATTGATCGCATGAGACGGTGCCTGACAGTACAGCTGGAGAAGCCGTGATGTGTGATGTACATCTTTCAGTCCCAAAGCGGTAACCAGCGAGAGCTCCCACGCGGCTCCATCTCGAGGCCCAAATCGGGCAGGTTGGGCAGATGGATGCGGGTGAGGCCGCGAAGACACTTGCGTAGCTGGACGGCGTGGATTCGTCACCGGGCGCTTGAAAGAGTCGTGGAATCAAAGCGAGAGGGGGTCCGCTAAAGAGAAAGAGAGAGAAAAAAAAAAAGAAACAATCCATGCTAAATGGAACCCCTGTCAGCATTTGACGTACAGTAGCTTGTCAGTGTTAAAACAATCCATCCCATGCCATGGTAGCAGCATTGACGACTGCAGACAGTAGAGCATCAACAACTAGACGCAGCCAATCGTGGCCCAAGGGAGTCTCCGGTAGCCGCTGGACTCGGGTGGGGGAACTGACGACACCCTGGACAGGAGCTGAGCCCTATCGGAATAATGGACGGTTGCTGCTAGTCCCTTGTGAGGACAGGATGGAACGGTGCAGTTGATGTCTGCCATTCTGGGCACTTGCATGGGCACATACACGTATTGGGGTGGGAGAGGTTTGTCTGTTGTCCCGATATTCAAGGGAGCGGTACCCAGATGGGAGGAGTTAACCTTTAGTACCTGTTACGCTTTACTGAGGCTGCGATGCTTTGATACTGACTCCAGGCTGTTTTCTTTGTAGAACCATTGATAGTACTATAGAGTCAATAATAAAATAATATTTTTCAATATCAACATCACCGTGTACATTAGTACCAGGTAATTTTCCATTAGGTACTAAGACTCCCGTAACTCGGCCCAGCACAGCCCGTTGATTCATACCAATCCAGTATCATCCAGCCCAAGTGCCACTGAAGCTCCTCCAGCTGCCCACTGAATTGCCCACTAACCACTCAAGCTTACGCACTCCATCGCTAGCCACCGGATCCTCTTCCCACCGTCCACTTTTTAGCCTCTCCCCGCGCTCGACGTCAAACACGAGCAGAGCCAAGATCAGATCAAAAGAACCAGGACCCCAGCCTTGCGACGTGCGAGGCGGCTTTCGCATGACGATGAGACACAGACACAGAGACAGACCAGCCTCTTTCCTGCCCTGGGCGGTGACGGTGACGGTAACGGGGCCGACAATCGCCATGCCATGCCATGCCACGCCATGAATCATCCACGCCGTCGGCCAATCCAACTCCAATCTGACAGCCCAGTTCCATCGAGATACGGCCGGCGAATCTCGTGTCCGGATGTGACCGAGGCGGGTCGGCCGTGTGTTGCTATTCCTGTTGCTATTCCTATTGCTATTCCTGGCCGGCTCTGCTTGCTCCAGTCAGTCCCCTTAACCTTGACCTGGTGAGGCCATCGTCGTCGTGATTGACCGAATCGACAAGCGGCACATACGCACGCATACGTACGTCCCACGTATTGCCGTCGCGGGCCGCCGTCAGGCCCACCAGCCTCGCGCCGCGACTAGACTTGGGGACAAGGCCGGAGAGGCATATAGCCGGGCGTATATGTCTGATGCTTTGCTGGTTGCTTTGCTCAGTCTGTCTGGGCGGTTCACATAAACACTGCTGGCTGGATCCAGAGCATCTCTCTCTCTCTCTCTCTCTCTCTCTCTGTGTGTGTGTGTGTATCTCTCCTCTGATCCAACGCCGTCGTTCGTTGTCATCATCACTACCACCACCACCACCACCACCAACAACAACACCATCACCAACTATGCAACTCGACAGCAGCAGCGACGGCAGACGGCCTACGAGCCAGCGCCTGCCCGTCAACCCTCGCCGTCACAAAGTCGCCCCTGAACACCGCAAACGAGTTGCCACTGCGTACATCTGCCCTTCCTTCTCCTGAGATTCATCCTCTTTGCTAACCCAACCCAGATGCAACAGCTGCAATGTTCGAAGGGTCAAGTGTTCTGGCGGAACCCCCTGTTCGCAGTGCTCCGCCTCCAGCCGCGAGTGCGTCTACCCCGTTCCCGTCGAAAAGGTCAACGTCCCGCGCGCCGAGCTGGAAGAGCTGCGGAAAAAGGTCGAGCTCTATGAGCGGGCGCTTCAGGAGGCCATTCCCGACCCCTCCAAGCGACAAGAGCTCATCAGCCTCGCCTCTGCCACGCCAGAGGCCCTGTCGCCATCTCCCAGCGCCTTTAGCCCCAGCCAGTCCTTTCCATCCGAGGGTAGCAGCCATTTCCCGGGCGCCTCCTCCGTCAAACCTGAGCCTGAAGATGAACAGACGCCTGGCCACCTTGTCCAGGATCCCAACGACACGGCGGGCTACCTCGGAGAGACCAGCGGCGCTACATTCCTCGATCACTTGAAGGAGCTGCTTGGGGCTGTGCTGCCTCTCACACAGGTGGAACCGCAGCTGTCTCAGGGGCAGGACGGAAGCGCCTTGTTGTCCAGTCTGGGGAGATACTATACCGCTGACTCTCGCCCTTCGGTCGATCGAGACGCAAAGCCAATATCGTTGCCCTCCAGTGAGGACCTTGCCGCTCTGCTGTCCAAGCTCAGAAGTCTGGTCCAGGACGGAAATGGCGAATGGCCTAGCGGCGGCATCTACTGGTTTGGCGAGCTCGACATCCTTCCCACTCGGGCCGCCTCGCCGTCATCCGCTCCGGAGGCGGACATGAATGAATTTCGTCAGTTGGCATTCTACCACGCCGCTCTGGCCAACATTATCCGGGCCGGCACCTCGTCAAAAGAGGTGCTCAACAGTGCGTCGGCGCCCTCACTTAGCGAAGCGTACTTTGCCGGTGCTGCCATTCTCGTGGGCAACCCCTTAGACGTAACACGGTGTTGTACAATTGGCGATGTTGCCGCTCTCTGTCTCATGTCGGCCTATCTGATTGAGATGAATAGGAGAGACGCCGCCTATATGCACGTGGCAGCCGCCATGCACATTTGTATCATGCTAGGCATCCATCGGGGGGTCGCAGATGAAAGGGGGAAGCGAGTGTTTTGGACCGTCTATATTCTGGACCGGTGGTTGAGCTGTCTGATGGGACGGCCACACATTATCATGGACGATGCCATCGGGATCCAGTTGCCTGCCGATGCTCCGTAAGTAACGAATCGATTTCTTTCCCGAACGTTGCCTGCTAACCTGCCGTTATAGGTCGATGCCACCCGCTGCGGGACTTAGAGCTCACGTCGAACTTTCGCGAATTTCCGGTTATGTCGTCTGCAACACGTATCGCGTCGCCCCGTGGGAGGCAGCCAGAGGAGGAATGTCCAGACAGCCCGACAAGGCCATCTGGATGTTGCAGCAGTGGCAGCTGACTCTTCCACCTCGCCTGCAACTGTCCCCCGACGGGCTGAGCAGCGACCCTGCCTGCTGCCTCCTCCACATGAGGTACAACATGCTTCTTATTCTGGCCATCCGGCCGCTATTCCTCGGTGCCGTCAAGAGGTCGATAGCCAGGCGTCTCATGGTGCAGACAACCGAACCTAACATGATGTATTCGGAGCATCTAACGCTGTGCATTACGGCCGCGCGCCGCAACATTCGCCTTGGACGACAGCTGGCAGCGCTCAACCTCAGCCGGAAGTCGCCGCTGCACGCAGAACAGCATTACTCGTTCAATGCCACCGTGTGCCTTGTTCTGGAGGATCTGATATCCGATGAAGAAGTGTCGGAGGAGGAAAGAGAGGCAAGAAACAACGACATCATGTTTGGCATCCAGCTGGAAGAAGACGGCATCACCAGCTTTGGCCAGGCTTCGTCCAACTCTCTGCGGCATCTCTGGGCCCTAGCACGGCGGTTGATGGACTCGATGGTGCAGACTCAGGAGTTGAGCAATGCCGGGCTAGCTGGGCAGAGATTTGCCCCGCCGATGATGACGACGCCTACGGACTACTCCATGCCGGTCCTGCAAACCGGCGAAGACCATGCCCTTTACGACGAGCTGGTGGCCTGGGTGGACGATGAGTGGCCGCCCATGTACAACACGGGCCTGTTTAGTGGGTTCATGCAGTGAAGTTGACAGAGGCTAGGAAGCTTTTTGTTTTTGTTTTTTTCCTCGCAGGGCTGATGTAGGTGATGGATCGAGGATGGTGCATGGCGACTGTGACTTTTCCATACCACCACGGCAGTTTTTTTTTTTTTGGTTTTATTTCTTTTGTCTCAAAAGCATTTGATGGTAGATACAGAGTATATTCAAAGAGATGAAGAATGAATAAAAATGAAAAGAAGAACTGGTGGAGGTGCGTAAGCGTGTCGGTTAATGACTGTTTCGGGGAATTTCCGTAATATCACCACCAGTCGGAGATTGTGTTGCTGCCCCTGCACTTTCAGCCAGCGAAATCACATCAATTCCAACACGCGGAGCTGAAGGTTGTATTCCTTTTTCATTTTACTGCCGCCTTGCGCCTATTGCACACCATTGCCATGATTTGAGTCGAATGCAAATGTGGCCAATTGATGAATACTGGAGATGTATATTATCTTTTCAACTAAATGGATAACATTCTTATAATGCTCATGCCTTGTGGTAGATGGATGAGAAACCATTAATGATACCGTTTGTATAAAGTACTAGGTATGTTGTGCTTCACCGTGATGTCATGCCACTCCTCCCAAAAGAAGACTAAACTCCAACCGTGAACCGCATTGAAAGCTTCATCATGCAACTCTTTCAATGCCTTTTCCACCATCCGGATTACAACCGATTCTGCACAAGACAATCATGTCGCAGTTAGCCAAGAAAGCCGTGGCGGTCAGCTTCATCTTTCAGTTTCCAGACGGCCATGATTCGAATAATGATAAGCCGCGGGTGGCTTTGTTTCGTCGGAGCGGGGAGGTGAATACATATCAGTATGACTCGATGAGTTCACATCAAATGTTCCTTTACTAGGTACAAGAATATTCATCTACTTATACTGACGGCATTTCATGAATAGGCATAAATACGCACCCATCTCAGGCGGCGTCGAAGTCTCAGACACATCCCCCCTCGCAACCGCCTGGCGCGAACTCGAAGAAGAAACCACCCTCACGGCGTCTTCTCTACGGCTCTTGCGACAAGGCAAGCCGTATTCATTCACAGACCCCCAAGTTGGCCGCATATGGACCATCAATCCCTTTGCGTTCATCTTAAAGCCCGGCGTGGGCGAAGAGAGCATCACGATTGATTGGGAGCATGAAGGGTACAAGTGGTTCGATCCTGGTGAGGTCACTGACGATGAATCTTTTCATGGAGTGCCGCGGCTGAAGGAAAGTTTGAGGAGAGTGTGGTTTGACATTGATCTTGGTAGGGATGCTGGTGGTGTTTTGGCGGCTGGGTTGAAGACGCTGCAAGAGGACCATGAGAGCGGTGCGAGACAGTTGGCTTCAGCGGCATTGGACATGTATCTCGACGTGATTCCTCGAATCGACACCAGTGATGGAGACACGTGGTGGAAGAACATTCGTTTCGCAGCATGGCATCTGTGGAAGAATGGGCGAGAAAGCATGGGAGCCCCCATCCTCAGCGTCGTCCTCTCGAGCCTCTCCCTCATCGAGCACCATCTCACTCAAACTTGTCTCTCAAAAGACCTCGTCGACGAAATCTGCGCCGACATCAAACACCTCGCCCAACAAAGACACCAATCAGCAACCAAAATCGCCACCGCATTCGTCTCATTCCTCAACAAGACCTTTCCCTCCCAACCCACCAAGCCTCTCAAAATCGTCACCCTCTCGTCCAGCTCAACAATCACAGCGTCAATCTCCCTCATTCTCGAATCAGCCTCTCGCCCCCTCGACATACACGTCCTCGAATCCCGCCCTCTCTTCGAAGGCGTCACGGCCGCACGCCGCTTCTCCTCCCTCATCCAAACCAACCACAACGAAAACAAAAGCAGCGTCACCATTCACACAGACGCAAGCGCCGCCCTCGCCTCCAAAGACGCACACATCCTCCTCCTCGGCGCAGACCTCATCGACAAGGCCGGCAACGTGAGCAACAAGACGGGCTCGCTCCCCGCCGTGCTCGCCGCCAAACACGTCTGTCCAGAGATCAAAGTCGTCGTGCTGTCGGAAAAGGAAAAAGTGCTGCCGTTTGATCCGCCGGGCCACGAGGAAAACGACGGCGAGGAGCTCATCCGCGGGTGGGATGGGATACTGGGTCCGGATGTGGGATTGCAGGGCCTGAGTGTCACGAATGTGTATTTCGAGTGGGTGCCTGCGAGGCTGGTGGACGTCTATCTGACAGAGGATGGCGCCGAGGGCACGCAACATGTGGAAGCGTGGGCGCAGGAGGTGCGGCAAAAGGCCGGCCGTTTCTTTGACCATCTTTGATCTGATGTATGTATACACATGTCGACACGTTAATTCTCCAGTTCACCATCCATCAACCTCAACTCAGCTATATGCAACCTATGAGGGCTCTCCCTCGCCTCCCTCTTGCTGCTTCACGCTCATGCTCGCCAACTGACCCTGCAACCCCCTTTTACCAACCCTCATGGCAAACTCCAGTTCCCTCTCTTCCTCTCTCAACCGCGCCTTGCTCGCCGCCACATCCCTCTCCCTCCTCCTCCTCTGCTCCTCCACCATCCGATTCCTCTCCTCCAGCGCCTTCTCCCGCCTCTCCTTCGCCTCCCGCGCCTTCTTCTGCTCCTCGTCCTCTGCCGCAGAGCCAGGGTCCTGAGGAGGCGGCGGCAGGGTCTGCACGTACGCCTCGACCAAAGGATCGCGCATCTTGGGCTCGAGGGATATGTACCGTAGATCCGTCAGGACTTGCGCAGGCAGTCCATTTGCAAGCGACTTGTTGTGAAGTAGATGCACCGGCTGCGCCCTGAGCAAGGCAGTGAGATCCGACTTGAGCGTAGCCAGAGGCATCTTCAAACGATTGACGTGTTCCCTGTACGCCTTCTCGCGGTCCTTGTCCGACAGCTTCATGTCCTTCATGGGGTCCTCCTTTTTGTACTTTCTCTTAAACTCGGGCCAATACAGCTTCGGCGAGGCCTTTTCCTGCAAAAACGCCATAAACGCAATCTTGGGGTCCTTCTTCTCCTGCTTGGCCCTCTGTTCTTTAAGTTCAGCGATCCTTGCCCGTGTCCATTCGTCCCAGCACTCTTTCCGCGCCCTCGTCGTGCTGAGCGCCGTGTAGCGCGCATCTTCGATTATTTTGCCGTCCTCTAGCAGCTTCTCCCACGGGCTGTAAGGATTGACGTTGAGGTCGATGAGCATGTCCTGGAACAAGAACTTGGCGTCCTCTTCTGAGAATTCCACACCCTCTGCGCCTTCGGGCCAGTCCTCCATGTTGCCGTCGTCGTAGTCACCAGGTTCAAGGCCATAATCTTCGCCCATGGCTTGTAGTTGGGCCGCAATATCCGCTTCTGTAAACTCGAGAGGGCCTTGGTCTTCTTCGTCCGCCATCTCGGTACGTTGTCGCTTCGATGGGTGGTCGCTCTCGTCCTCGTCGCCGTCTTCGCCCAGCCCCTCGTCATCGGTGACCTCAACCTCTTCGTACTCATCGCTGTCAAAGTCTGGTCCCTGAGCGGGCGTATCCTCAGCAGCCTTGCTCTCCTCTCTCTTGGGTTCGCCATCCCCCGCTTCGCCTCCCTTCTCCTCGTCCACAGACTTGTTCTGTATCCGCTTCTTGTCCATTTCCAAGATGGCAGGCATGAGCTTTTCGGGTATGCGCCAGTAGCTCGCATTCTTGACCGGGTTGTAGACGAAGCGTCGCGAGTATTTTGTGTACACCAGGATCCACGGCTCGCAGCCTGGAATAGCTTCCTTTCTCCTGGGCTTGTCCACGGGCTGAGGCCGCGGCCGGTTCTCGAAACCACCTCGACCGCCAAAGCCGCCTCTTTGTGCCTGGGGCGGCGGTTGGTTGAACTGCGCCATGTATGCATTTGCGACATTGGGATCGGATAGATTGGGTACGGCAGCGTATGGAGAGAAGGATGGCTCTGGCGCGGGTTGAGGCAGCTGGCCGGGTCGTTTATACGTGGATTCTTTGGTCTCGGCGTTGTAGTAGTACGAGTGGCCAGTCGGGGCTTTGTGTTCGGTCCAGCCCGGCGGAAGAGGCGCCAATTGCGCTGGCTTGTGAGTCGATTTGAGCATCTTGGCGATGCTGTTGAGTATCGCGTAGGCGCAGAGGTGGTGGATGATGTTGTTGGGTATGGATGTGGAAAGGGAATTGCAAGAGGAAGAAAAAGTCGATGCCGGAGCTGGAGATGCAGCCTGTCGGGGCGGATTCCGCGTTTTTAGCGCTGTTCCAGAAGCCAGAGCTCCCTGGCGCGTCGAGTTACTGGGGAGCTGACGCGCTGTGGGCACTGCAGGCGTCTATCGCTAGGCGGGGCAGCCCTTGTAAGTGAGCTCAAGCTGCCTCCAGGCTGACTACATCAGGTACCAAGCTGGGTAAACCACCAAAACTTGTTCCATGACATCGTCATCAAGCATCAAATATCTTCTTCAAGACAACTATATACGATGGATTGCCATGCCATGTTCCATTCGAACGCAGTGCTTCAACTACATAAATTCTTGCAAAGTAAATAAAATCATCAGCTCTTCTGCAGCCCCAGCTTTGCAACCAACGCCTCTGCGATATCCTTTGCAAAACCTTCATCATTCACATGTCTTTCATCCTCAACAATATTGATGCCGCTCCCGCTCAATCCCGACTTGACCGCCTCAAACAGCGCCTTATCCGCCTCTTCATCTTCAAACGGCCCTCCAGGTACGGCAATCATGCTGACTCCCCCCTTTGGAATCCACACTTCAACCATGTCCGGCCTCTTCGTCTTGCTGAGCTTCCGAGCAATAAACCCCCCAATCTCACGACACTCATCCGGCGACGTCCTCAGCAGCGTGATGGTCGGGTTGTGCTCATAGATGACTCTTCCCTCGTGCTTCTCCGGCATCGTGTTTCTCGGCCCAAAATTGACCATGTCGAGCGCCCCCAGAGAGACAATATTCGGCAAGCCAGTTTCAACAGCAGCGTCCAATCTCCTCTCTCCGGCTGACAACACGCCGCCAACCAGGTGGTCGCAAATCTCCGTCGTCGTGAGATCAATGACTGCGTCGAGCTGGCCCTCGCGAATGAGCCGCTCCATTGCTCTTCCTCCGGTGCCGACGGCGTGGAAAACATATGTTTCGACGGGGTAGTTGGACTCGAGATGCGCGCGAATGGCATCGACTCCCGGCGTCGTCACACCAAACATGGTGATGCCCACCCGCCACTTCTTCATGCTCGTAGACTCTTGCGCTGCATCGTTTGTCTTTCTGTCGCGCCGGGCAGCGTACGAGAGAGCGGCGCCCGCAATCGACGCCCCGGCATTGCTGAGGATGTCTCGCAGGATGGGGTTCAGCCCGGCAACGTCGACAACAGAGTGCATCAGGGTAATGTCCGTCTCGCCCACGACGGGTCTGGTATCGCCGCTCGCCATGGTCGAGACGATGAGCTTGGGGAATCCAACGGGAAGCACATCCCGCATGACGGCAGCGGAGAGCGACGTCCCATTGGAACCTCCGGCGGAAATAATGCCGTCGATGAGGCCCTGCTGGTATAGTTTCCGCACAGCTTGAGAGGCACATTCGGACATGAGCGTGACGAATTCCCCTCTGGTCAAGTCTGATGTATCCTTGCCGTCGCCATACTTGGACAAGAGCTCGGCCTGGGAGATGGTAATGGCATCGTGGACACAGGGATCCCGTCCGACGTCTATGAGCATCGTCTTGACTCTGGCTGTTTCTTCAACTCTGTCGCGAAGAAAGAGAAGCTCCCGCAACTTGGTATCGCAGCTCCCGATGATGGCTACCGAGGCCATTTTGACAAAAAGGTAGAAGGAATTGTATTGAAGATGAAAAATGAATTGCTTGCAGCAAGAGAAGATGCGGGGTATGCATGCGGTTTACGGCATGTTATAAGATCAATTCCAATGTCTCAGATCCGAGGCGTTTTGTTTTCCTCAGTCCTCCCAACCAACTCGAACCCATGATGCTCAACATCTCCATGACAGACACAGTGGCGATGCATGACGCTCATTTGAGTTGCCGTTGGTGGAGACGCGATCTGACATCAACAAGCTCACGACTTATTCCGTATTCCCTGCTAGTCTCCGCAGTGTCTAGTTCCGGCCAAGGGCTACCTATGATGTGATGCGACGATTGGATTCATGGATCCAACAAGAACAAGCGGTGGTCTTTGCAAGCTGGAATTGGACAAGTCGCAACTGTTTGCTTGTTTCACCCCCATCCTCAGCTTCATCCAGACCATGGCTCCCCCCACAGACAGAGACCAGATCCTCGCCGGCCTCAGAGCCCGAATCGCCGCCGGCAAGCCCATCGTCGGAGCCGGCGCCGGCATTGGCCTGTCCGCCAAGTTCATCGAGGCCGGCGGCGGCGACCTCATCATCGTCTACAACAGCGGGCGCTTCCGCATGGCCGGCCGCGGGTCGCTGTCCGGCCTGATGCCCTACGGCGACGCCAACGGAATCGTGGTGGAAATGGTATGTACGGGACGCTTCACTCCAACGTCAAGTTCTTTCTTTCATTTCCCGTCATGAGCACATGATGTACTTACAACAAGCCGACGACAAAAGGCCAACGAAGTCCTCCCCGTGGTCAAGCACACGCCTGTCATCGCCGGCGTCTGCGGCACGGATCCCTTCCGCAGCATGCCCTCGTTCCTGAAGCAGCTCCGCGACCTGGGCTTCGCCGGCGTCCAAAACTTCCCGACCGTCGGCCTCGTCGACGGGCAGTTCAGGGCCAACCTGGAGGAGACGGGCATGGGGTACGACTTGGAGGTCGACATGATCCGAGAAGCTCACTCGCTCAACCTGCTCACCACGCCGTACGTGTTCAACGTCGAGGAGAGCAGGAAGATGGCGCATGCCGGTGCTGATATTCTCGTTGCGCACATGGGCCTCACGACGAGCGGCTCTATTGGCGCCGCCACGGGCAAGACGCTGGACGAGTGCGTCGAGCTGATTCAGGAGATTCGCGATGCGGCCGTTGAGATCAACCCGGATGTCATTGTGCTGTGTCACGGAGGGCCGATTGCAGCGCCAAGGGACGCCGAGTATGTTCTCAGCCGGATAAAGGGGGTTCACGGGTTTTACGGAGCGAGCTCGATGGAGAGATTGCCGGTTGAGACGGCGATTACAGAGATTACAAAGAGCTTCAAGGCTCTGGAGCCCAAGCTGTGAGCTGCAGGTGTCAGGGTAATATGGAACTTGGTTGTATATCTGGCGGCGATGTGGACGTTATACAATGTAATATCAAAACGTGGGGGTTATGAGCCACAGATGCTCCAGCTACATAGACTGCTTCAACTATAATAAAACACAAATCATTTCCTCCTTGAAATATCATTCCCTATTTGCTTATAATAAATCCATGCAATCGGGCACAGTTGCATGCACGCCAACATTGACTCCATCCCCAATTACGCGTCCCTCGGACTCTTCGTCAAAGCCGCTCCATCCCGCCTACCCTGCACTCCACCCCCAACAATCGGTGCAATCTATGCAACATCGCCAAATCGCAAACTCAGCCTCACTCTTCAAGTCTCATCCCCCATAACTCTGTCACCACTCATTCTCACTACAACAACAACAACCCCCTTTCAACTTCATTCTGCATCTCTTCAGCAGCGCTTCTCATTCATGGCCAAGTCATTCATAATATAAAAAATTCCCTCATCTCACCTCACTCCCAGGCGCAACATCGACATGCCTTCTGTACGCACCTCCACCGGCGACTCGACGGCTTCGATGGGGCCCCTTGTCCGGTTCTGGAGAGTGAGTTGAGACCATATTCGTCTTGCTCTTCTTATTCCGTTCCTTGTGACTGACTTGGTTCTTCTTCTTCCTCTGTTGGCGCATATAGACGACTCATGCGCCAGACTACATCGGCTTCGCAATCCTTCTCGCAGGATGGATCTTGGTGAGTCCTCAAACACACCCATACATCTTCCCCCTTTGCTAAACAACGATTCCAGATTATCCTCCTCGTCAATCCCTTCCACCGCATGTTCTTCATCAACGACCTGCGCATCTCGTACCCCCACGCCGAACACGAGCGAGTCACCGTCCGTACGTCTCTCCTAACCACCCCCCCGGCTTCATCCTCCCTCCTCCAACACGCTTCCTCTCTCTTCTCTCGTTCTCACCAAAAAAAAAAAAAAAACAGCTCTCAACTTCCTCTACGCCCTCTTCATCCCTCTCGGCATCCTCGTCGCCTACAACTTCATCACCCGCGCCTCCACCCACAAACACGAAGCCACCTACCTCTCCCTCGGCATCTCCATCGTCCTCTCGTCCTTCATCACAGACATCGTCAAAAACGCCGTCGGCCGCCCCCGCCCGGACCTCCTCGCCCGCTGCCAGCCCTCCGCCGACACCAAGCCCGACGTCCTCGTCACAATCGCCGCCTGCACCGCCCCCGACGGCCACGCCCTGCAGGACGGCTGGCGCTCCTTTCCCTCGGGCCACTCGTCCTTCTCCTTCGCCGGCCTCGGCTTCCTCGGCCTCTTCCTCGCCGGCCAGCTGCACATCTTCAACTACTGCGCCGGCGGCCGCGACCTGAGCCGCGCCCTCGTCTGCCTGTCGCCCCTCGTCGGAGCCGCCCTGGTGGCCATCTCGCGCTGCCAAGACTACCGCCACGACGTATACGATGTCTGCGTCGGGTCGGCGCTCGGCATGACGGTCGCGTACTGGAGCTACAGGCGGCACTTCCCCAAGCTGACGAGCCCCAACTGCGACGAGCCTCATCCTCACCCGGCCGTCGAGGCTCAGCAGGGGTGGCAGCGCGTGCGGGACGAAGAAGAGCAAGGTAGTGAATTCGCCTTCCCACTAGGAACTCGACGAAGCTGAGAGGGCTTGAGGCTAATGCTGAGATGAATATCGCGCAATGTAGTGTAATTATAACGGGGAGAGCTTGTTTGTATGTAGATGGCTGCAACTTCACCATCTGCTATCGTGTCCCTTCAAGAGAAAAGGGGGGATCATCAAAAGTATATAGGATTTCTTTTCTTCCCTTCTTCCTCTTCTTGTTACTTTTTTTTTTTTTTTTGGATAATATGGCATGCTTACATCACAGGAATCCCTGTAGTCAAGTCGAACTCATCTTGGGACATGTCGTATTGTTACAAGGGCCAATTGTCCTTTTTTTGTGTCATTAAGCGCCCATTCTCGGTCTACTTGTTGGAAACATTCACCCGCTCTATTCGTTTATTTCTCCTCCGTGTCCTCGCTCTTGGCCAAGTCATGCTCCTTTAGCAGCGCCGTGATCTCGTCGGCGCTCCACAGCCTGTGGTAGATTCTGCCATCCTCCGTCTGTCCCACCGTCGCAAACTCGACTACAAGTGCACGTTAGCCACCAATGACATGTAGAAACAAGAAAAGACACAAAAACTCACTCTTTTCACTGCTCAGCTTGGTAGAGTCCATGGTCTTGCTGAGAACCTTGACGGCCACGCCGCAGGCCTCCTGAAGCGAGCAGTCCTCCTTGTAGTCCTGCTTCAAAAGACTCTGCGCACTGGCATTGTTGGCGCCCGCGCTGGTGGCCTTCCACCCACCGTAGTTTCCTGAGGGGTTGCTCAGGTACAGCTGGAACTGTCTCCGGGGATCCCAGCCGGCGTAGATGAAGGAGACGCCAAACGGCCGCAGACCACCGTGCTGTGTGTAGCCCTGCTTCAGATCGCACAGCTTGCGCACCAGCTGCTCGCAGGGGATGTCTTCGTTGTAGGTGAGGAGGTACCGCTGGGCGGCCTGGCGGGCGTAGTTGATGAGGATGTTGGCGTCGGCGGTCATGCCTGCTACTGCGCAAATCATGTTGCTGTGACGGGCGGGCGAGGGCGCAAGGTGTCAGCAGGGACGACGACGTGTAAATACACAGATGCAGGTAGTGCAACATACTCGTTCAGCACGTAGAGCTTCTCTGCTGAGGTGTCCTGCTCCAGCAGCTTCGACGTCACCTTTCGCTCGGCGGCCAGCACAATTCCATCCTTGGCGAGGATGCCGATGGCGGTGCCGGCGTGGGAAATGGCCTCCAGTGCATACTCGACCTGGTACAGCCGGCCCTCGGGGGAGAAGATGGTGGTCTATGGGCACGCGGGTTAGCCTGCATTGCATCGTGCGTGATGGCGGGTGTGTTGGCCCTTGGAGCTCAGGCTGGACGTACGCGGGAATCGTAACGGCGGGACATGGTGGAGGGGCAATCTCTGTTTGGCGGTGCAACGGATGGATGAACTGAAGATCCGGAGAGAGATTGATTCGATTAGATTTGCGCAGATGCAGATGCAAAGATGGGGCAAATCTCCGGGAGCCGAGGAGAGGATCTGGATTGGGGGAGGGATTGAGATTGAAGATGTTGGTTCTGGAGTTCTGGAGGGGAACAAGGCCGGCGTCACTTCTGGAGCTCCAGGCACGACCGCCGCGTAGGTGCTGAAGCTTGTGGCAGAGCAGATACCCTGGAGCTCTGCAGGCGTTGCCGGGGGATGAGTCAGCGGCCAGAGGCCAGAGGAACGAGACCAGAGTTGACGAATGCCTGAGGCAGCAATTGGACAAGGCTGAGACTGTCCAACGACAGTTTAGCCGAGGCTGTGCCGTCACGACAGCGTTTTTGCCCCTCATGACTAAGCCCCCCCCCAGGCATCCCATCATGGTCGAGAATCAATCAGCCACAGCATTGCATTGCATTCACTTGGCCGCCGGGATTCCAAACAACCAGTTGCCACCATCAGCTGCAGCTCCGGCTTCTTCTCCAGCATTTTCCCTTGTTCCTTCTTCTGCTTCTAAACTTGTTGCTGCAGCTTGTCAAGACGCTGCTCTGCTCTGCTCTGCTCTGCCGCATCACCGCTCAGCACTTCAACTCGTCTCATTCAGTTCCATCTCATCCAGCTCACCGTCATCGGAGGCCGAAACCCTTGCTTGACCTTCTCTTCTCTTCTCCCCTCTGGCAGGACCCGGGCATCGTCTAGAGACTGCAGAGCTGCGCTGCTCAACACTCAACAACACTCGGTCAATATTCAACTCTCGGCTCTTGATACTCATCATCATCATCATCTATAACCCACGAGACAGACTCCCTCATTCATCCCCCCTCTCAGCCGCCTCCATCTGCCACCAGCTGTCAAGTTCCAACATCGCAAGCCACAGCCAAAAAAAAAAGCCCAAAAAGACGCGCGCCACCCGCTTCGTCCTTCTACTATTTGTATCCACTCCAAGGGGCTCCCGGAACCCCACGCAAGCTGCCGTCATCACCAACACAAGCTTCGATATTTTTTTTCTAAAATCGGCACGCGCTGCCTCTGTAGCAGCTTCACACGCCGCTCGCCATCCCATCCCGTCAAATAGCTACCCGAGAAGAGCCGGTCGCTGGATTGGCAACCTCGCGCTGCAATTAGGCCTCATCTTCTTTTTCTCTTCTTTTTTGTTCTATTCTTGCCGAGGGGGAGGAATCCATCGTTGTTTAGCTGTCTGTGACTACCTACTAGTTGCCGTCTTTGCCTGTTTTGTAAATCTCCCAATGCCCGCCTGAAGCGAACCGCAAGAATTTTCTCTTCCATCTCGCGTTCGCTTCCACAGTAGAATTTGCATCGCATCTAGTTGGATCTGCGGCGACGCCTTTGCGCGTGCTCCATTGCCATGTCCGGTAAGCTAAAAAACAAACAAACAAACAAACAAACAAACCACAAAAGCCGACGGTTCCCCTCAATCGATCAAGACGGGCGCAGAGATGCGACCCATTGGGGCTGTTGGTGCGACAAGATGCGCCGTCGCCGACGAGACGAGACGAGACGAGACGAGACACTTTGCTAACAGAAGCCATTCGCAACAGGAGAAGCCGAACCTCGACGCTCCGTCAGAGCCACCAAGGGCCAGCACACAAAGGCCTTTGACGAGCTGGAGCCTGCCGCGCCCAAACGTCGACAGACCAAGAAGAACAAAAAGGCCGCGGTGCAGGAGAAGGAGCAGTCGCAGGACCCCGAGGAAGTCATCCGCTGCGTCTGCGGCGCCACCGAGCAGGACGAAGACTCGGGCGAGGCCTGGATCTCGTGCGAGGAGTGCTTCGTGTGGCAGCACAATGTCTGCGTGGGCGTGAGCTCGTACGAGGACGAGATCCCCGACCACTACTGGTGCGAGGAGTGCAAGCCGGAGAACCACAAGGAGCTGCTGGACGCCATTGCCCGCGGCGAGAAGCTGTGGGAGGAGCGGCGAAAGGCGCACGAGGAGGAGGCCGAAAGGAAGAAGAAGCGCGGCGGGCGCAAGAGGGGGAAGCGAGGCAGCGATTTCAAGGAAGAGCTCGAAAAGGATGCCCAGGCCAAGGCATCGCCCACTCCCGACGCCGTGTCGAGAGAGAGGAAGGACGTGGCGGCCGTGCTCAAGCAGGGCAAACGAAAGGCGAGAGAGGACTCACAAGATGTCGACGGAAAGGTATGCCATTGTCTTGTTCCCGATTGATGATTTGATGCCAACACATGACTTGTCCATCCTAGACCACAAAGATGCGCCGCGTTTCCGAGGACGAGGCCGTGGCCTCTGCTTCTGCTTCTGCGTCCGCTTCCGTCTCGGCTGCCGCCTCTCCCTCGGTCAAGTATGTGCCGCCCGAAGACTTGACCGCGTCCATCCAGGACCTCCCCGGCACGCGAATCGGCCCTGCCAAGGCGCTGAAGAAGTCGTTGGTTCACGTCATCGGGTCGCTAGCCAGGGGCAACCACATCCGGCTACCTGGGGATGAGTCTGCGGAATCCCTCGCCGACAGGTATGCGTTGCAGATTGAGCGCGCCGTCTTCGACACACACCCGCTCTCCAAAGGCCAGAAGGAGTACAGCCAGCAGATAAAGTCGCTGTCGTTCAACCTCAAGAACAACCCCGAGTTGTTCCGGGGCCTTTGGGCGCGCGAGCACTCGCCCATGACGCTCGCCGTCATGACGTCGGAGCAGCTTGCCTCGGCCGAGCTGCAGAGGCAGACGGCCGAGATGAAGGCGAGGGCGGAGAAACAGTCCATCCTGTACACTTCCGAGACGGGCCCTCGCGTCAGGCGCACGCACAAGGGCGAAGAGATCGTCGAGGACGAGGGCCTGGTGACCAGCGAAGCGCCCATGCCGTCCGCCGGAGGCCCTCGTCCGGGGAGAGAGGAGAGACAGGAGCAGGGGCAGGGGCAGCAGCAACCACAGCAGCACGTTAAGCGCGAGTCGATAGGGGGAAACGAGCTGGGCGAGGCCGGTCTCGGCCAGCGCTCCCCGAGCCAGTCCAACTTTGATATTGGCAAGGTATTCTCCGCTGTGAAATCCCCCACTGCCGCTCACCGTCGCCGGCCTTCTGCGCCCGTCTTGAACACACACGGCCCCGGATTCGACCCCGACGTCGACCGGATGCTGCAGGACGAGACCGAATCGCCTCCTTACTCGCCCACCGAAGAGGCCACGGATCCCGACGTCATCTGGCGCGGCTCGCTGGCCATGAGCTCCATTGCCGACTTCCAGGCCACGGCCAAGCACATTGGAGGCGCCAACTTTGCCTCGTTTGGCCCCTGGACCAAGCTGATCCCACGACAGATGACCGTGGCCGGCCGGATCCCGCAGCAGAGCGCCATCGAGTACCTCTGCAGCCTGCGATACAGCAACTTGACCGATATCATCGTCGTCAACATCACGCCCACGTCGCCAGACGCAAAGCAAGAGTTCAACAACCTCATCAACTACTTTGTCGGCAAGAACAGGTACGGCGTCGTCGGCAATAAGGTCGCCGGCAACGTCAGGGACACGTACCTGGTGCCTGTCCCTGCCGGCGAGGACGGCCACCCCGAGTTCATGCTCAACCTGGTGGACAACTACATCCCCAAGTCCCGGGCCGAGCCCCTGCTGCTGGCCGTCTTTGTCTACCGCAACGAGCCGGACCAGCTGAAGCAGATGCTGCACAACGAGGCGACGAATGCCGCCGTTGCCACTGGCTCGTCCGCGAGCCCGAGCCCGATGACGACTCAATCCTCTGCCCCTCCCGCCCCTACGCCAGCCGGATACAGCCAGCGAAGCAACTCGACGTCTGGCCCGGCCTTTTCACCCGCCACGCCCCTAATCGCATCCTCTCCGTTCCCCAACCCTCCTCCAAACGGCCACGGACAATCCGCCACGCCGGTTCCCATCCCCCAGCTGCCGCACCTCAACCGTCCTGCTCCTCCAGCTCACGCGCCAGCACCGTCGTCGACGTCACCCCCTGGACAACACCCACAGGGACCGGACGACCAGCGGAAACAAGCACAGCAAGACGCCGGCGTCGTCACCGCGAGAGAAGTCCTAGGGCCCCTTATCAGCGTGCCCACGGTGCAGTTCATCCTCCCGCAGGCGTATCAGATGACCAGGCGGGAGTGGGAGGTGATCAAGACCATCATCCAACGAGACGTCCGCGCCAGAGACGACCTCAAGTACTTGGCGGATCTGCTGGAGAAGGAAGGCACCGGTGCAAACGGAGGGAATGGAATCGGAAACGACAACGGCCAGGGCGTGGCAGCGACGGCGACGCCGTTACCGCAGGTGGTGGCTGGTGTTGTTGGAGGAGGGCCTCCGCCTGTGAGAAAAGCGTGAGACGTTGAAGGGGGGGGGAAGAAATGAATTGTACGAGTCTGTATGAGTTTTTCTCTCTCTTTTTTTTTTATCGTTTGTGAATCCTATTATCTAGTCTAGATATAGTTGGGGAATACTGCCATGTAATGCATGATACCTATTTCTGTTTCTACGTACATTTTGTCTCATTGTGAGAAACTGCTACTACTATATGACTATCACAGTCTTTGGTGTGATGGTGTTGAATGTTGTTTATTTCATCTAGGTGAATAGTTCTAATTCTGTGTCTATCCCCTCTTCTCTCCTTTCCCCGTGATATACCAATGAGTCTCGATGTCATCAATCAAAGACGACTCAGCAACACTCTTTCAGTTCCCTCTCAAAATCATAACCCATCATTATTCATCAACGGCATGCTGGCACCCTGCAGTAACAATAACAATGCCCACTGCCAACGGCAGAACCAACGCCATGCCCTCATCAATACCGTACTTTTTTCAGCCTTCTCTCCTCCGTTAGACATGTCGTAGTCCTCCATCGAAGCAGCTTGAACTGACGTCTAAAACTGCTTCTCGCTCTCTCTCGACGCCTGCATCCGGCAGTACATTTGCATCCCGGCTCCGGCTTCGACCCCGGGAACGTAATCACTCGCGTCATCTCGAGCTCTTCCAACTCGCGCCCCGTCGTTCTCTACTATTCGATAAACGAATCGGCGGCGGCCCACGCAACAGCCTGCTTCACACAATCCTCGTCTTCTCGCTTACCCCCGTCTGCCTGTATTCCCGTCCGAGACTCCGCCAGCATCTGTCCAGTGGCGCTTTCGCCCTCCTTCCGAACCGCCGACAAGTCCAAGCTGCCCAAGCCTTCAAGAACTTTCCTCGCCTTGTCGACCTGCGTGCGAATGGCGGCCGTCTCGGTGCGCGTGCGGTCGAGGTGGTCCTGCATCATCTCAATGGCCGACTCGCGGGCCTGATGCGGGCGATACTCGTTGAGGATGTGGTGGATGTTGATCAAGATGGTGCGCGCGTCGGCAATCTTGGCCTCTGCGTCGCTCGCGTTGCGCGCCAGGGTGCCGACCAGCTCGAGGAAGTTGAGCAGCAGCGACTTGGTCAGGCGCTTGAGCTCAAAGGCGCGGTCGTAGTGCTTGGCGTCTTTGGCGCTGGAGGAGGCCGTTGCCGGGAGGTTCTCGATGCCTTGCTCCTCGAGAGTCGGGAGTTTGTCGTCGAGCTAGAAGACGAGAAAGCACACAGAGTTAGAGAGACGGCGTCATGGCCTGGTTTCATAGAAGCCATACCATGTACTGGTCGCCAAAGACTCGCCACCGTCCATCTGCCGGTTCTGGCGGTGGCTGCAGAGCCCTCAGATGCTCAGGCAGGTTCGGCACCTGCACGCTGTCCACGTCGGCCTGAGCCCGTCGCAGCTCGACAATCTCTGCGGTTCTCTCTGGCGTGAATTCCTTCCAGAAGTCGGGCGGGTTTGGAAACGTCGACGCCAGCGAGTGCGGCTCCTGCTGCTCGTCCATTGTTGCTCAACTTCTTCCTTGTCGTCCTTGTCCTTGTCCTTGTCCTTGTCTCCTTGTCTCCAAGTGCACGTAACCCCTCCCCGCGCGTTGTGTAAGAGTCGATGAGTATCAGCTCATTGGAGTTTAATACGAGGACAAACCAAAGGAGAAGCGATGCCGCTGGACTGCAACAAGAGACGCGGAAACAATATCGAGAGTGTTTTGGTGGTGATGTATGATGTGATATGATATGATAGGTATGATGGTATCAAGTTCTGGGGAAGCAGCAGCTGGTCGTAGAAAGTTAGATTGTACTGCAGCTGCGCCGGATAAACAGCGGCTCCGGCGAGCTTCCAGCGACCGAGTGACGTCGAGAAAGAAGCTGAACCTTGTCCCTAGAAAAATTCAAGCTCGAGGTTACGGTTACAGGTATTGATTATACGAGCTCCATCCATCGACCTGCAATTACAGCCGTCAGGCAAAAGAGCCGCCATCGTCTGCTTCCTTTATTCGTGACCAATTCGTCGATCCTGCTCGTCAATTGCCTCCATTGCCTCCTCTTAAAGCATGTGCACCCTTTAGGACGGACGTGAGAACCATCCAACCGCCCTGTTCGAATCTCGTTCGACAAAAGCTCAGCTCAGCTCATCCAACCTTTCTCCCTATTCGACTCGACTCTCGTATCATCACATCACATCACACCAGCCAATTCCAGCCATGGCCGACGTTCGAGCCCTTCTCCGCCAGCAACGAGCAGCCCGTCGCATCACCCACCCGTACGCCCTGTACACAGACGCCTCAAGGCTGCTCTGCACCCTCTGCGGCGACCACGTCCGAGCCGAATCCCACTGGGACGCCCATCTCCTCGGCGACAAGCACAAGCAGCGGCTCTCTGCCCTAAACGAGAGCACCATTGCCAATGCCAATGCCAATGCCAATGCCGACGATGGCGACAACGCGGAAGACGAGGACCAACAGGAAGACCAACGTGAAGCAGGACCAGAGGATGTCGAGGATCACGACGTCTTGGCAGCGCAAAAGCGGAAGCTCGACCAACTAGGTCCAGCGGAAAAGGACACAGACCTCGACGACGAGGACGAGGCGCGCAGGAAACGCAGCAGACCCGCGACGGCATCCGAAGACGACGTCAACCGCAAGAAGCCTCTCACGCCCACGCAAGGCGCCCAGGTCCAGATCGCCTCGCGATCATCCACTCCCTCGCAGCCAGCAGCAGTGCCCAAGCTGGCGACTTCTCTCCCCTCCCGCCAGGCCAGCAGTCTCGCCACTCCCGCATCCTCGTCATCCATGAGCATCAGCATCCAGCCCCCGTCCTCCTCGCAGTCACAACAACCAACACCACAACAACCCGCATCCCGGGACCAGCAAGTCGACCAAGACGAATGGGCCGCCTTCGAAGCCGACATCGCCGCCACATCCTACGACGACGACGCCGTCATCTCCCGCCCAGCCATGACAGCTGCCGAAGCAGCAGCAGCAGCAGCCGCCGCAAAGGAAGCCGACCAAGGCGCCATCCACAACCCAGAGTCCCGCAAGTCCAAGGCCGACGCCGAAATCGAGGATGAGCGCGAAGAAGCATCCCGCGCCCTCGAGGACGAATTCGAAGAGATGCAGGAGCTCGAGGCGCGTGTCCAGCGCCTAAAGGAGAAGCGCGAGGCGTTGATGCGCAAGAGGAGCGAGACCATAAGCCAAGGCCAGGCTGTTGTTGCCGGAACTGGTGATATCCAGACGGCAATCAAAGTTCCTTCCGAGCCGCAAGACGAAGACCAAGGGAAAGAGAATGTCCAGACGACCGGCGATTCTGCCAAATCAGAAGCCGATGATGATGACGAGGACGATGAAGATGAAGATGAAGAAGATGACTGGGATGGCTTCCGCTTCCGAACAGGGCGGTAGAACGAGCAAGCGAAGAATGTGAGGGGCATGATATGAACGCATAAAGCCATGTTAGCATCTCTTTCTTTTCTGTTTGCCATCATTTTCGTATTATATACCTAGACCGTTAATGCATGGATCCGGCGCACACGTCACTTTGAATAGATGACCAGCATCTATTACTTTCATAGCCAAAAAAACAACCCAAAAAAAAAAGCAATCAATATCAGCTATATACCTTAGGTAGGCCTAGGTACCCAGGTCTTCAAAACTACTACTCCAATAGCTGCTTCAAAAAATAGTCGAGACATGTCCAACCAGACCCAAAATAAAGAGACCAAAGAAGCCAAAGAAGTCGACGGGGTATATATATATATATAAAGAAGCCAAACTTGTCAAGAAAGAGCAAGCACTCAAAAACGCCACTGAATCCAGGAAAAGGGAACAAAGGGACAGAAAAGCACACACTTGACGAATCATTCGTCACCAGCTTCTCCCCCCATGAGCTGGCACCTCGCCACGGCTCATCCTCTCCCAGAAGCGGCGTAGCTTCCAGACACGACCGACGCCCAGCATCTCGTCCGACCTCCGCGCGTCTTCCGCCCGCTCGCTGACTTGACGCTTCCACTGGACGGAAATCCACCGCCTCAGGCCGTCCTTGATGCGCTCCTTCTCAATGCTCTTCCGCTTGGCCACCAGGCCGGGGGCAACGTGCACGGGAAACATGCCCGGCACGCATTCCTGGGGCAACACGCATCGCTGGACAAGGTCCCTGGCGGAGAGCCGCGAGGCAAGACGACGCGAGAGGCGGATGGAGATGAGTGACCGTGCCAAACGCCGCGATATGATGGTGTTTTGGGTCAAGAAGATGGATCGGGACATGAGGTCACCGAGAGACGGGCGGAACGGAGAATTGAGAAACAAGGTCAGGAGAAACCGGGCGTTGCGGAGGCGGTAGTGGTGCAGGACAGGGTCAAGAGAGATGGCACGAAGGCGACGGCACGTCTATGCTGGCTCGTCAGCAAAACGGAACACTTCCCCAACATGCCAGATGACGGCAATCACAGGGATAAGTTGTTGGGGACTAGCCATGCCTCCTGTGAATAATAACGTGTGTGTGTGTGTGTGTGTGTGTGTGTGTGTGTGTGTTGTGTGTAGCGACAAGTTCCGGGGTCAGTCCGTCAGCACGGCACGACACGGCAGAGTACTTACACGAGACGCACGCAACAAGTCATCGACATCGAGAAAGCTCGCAATGTGAGCCAAGACCTCGCTTGGCAAGGTCTCTAGACGTGGCGGTGACGAGCCGCCGCCGAGGATGGCGAGGGCGGATGAAAGCTCGGATAGTGACGAGAACACGTCTCGAGATCCACCGGCATATGTGGCGGCCTCACAGCTATCGACAGTCGTATGAGCTACCGGTGCAACGGTAGAGCTGGCGCCATCCACGTAGGCACTGTCAGGGGTCGGCAATCTCGAGAGGAGCTGGGCCTGGGCCGCAAACCGGGCCTCCTGGGCCGTTGAGTTGGCCATATGTAGCGGCTATTTGGGAGTCGGGGATGACAGTTTTCGGCGTCGATGCCGGCGAGGAGCTGCAGTGGTTAGCAAAAGACACACGCCTCCTCTGGGGCCCTTTTGGTATCTGGCCGGCCAGAGAAGACCCAAGGATGCATGTAATCGTGCTGATAGAAGCTATGTATGTGTGCCTGTATGCATGTATGCATGCACGAGTACGTGTGTAGGTAGGATTTTCAAGCGAATCTCAGCGATAGGCTAGCCGAGCATCACATCAACACGGGTGAATCAATAACGAATGGTTTCAGGGGAGCTGCTTCATTTCTCCGCCCCTTTGCTGGCGTGTCTGCTGCCGGAGTGCCCAGCCCGTCCGGCCTGGTTGGCTAATTCATCAAGCCCAGGCTTGGTATTGGCCTGTTGCTTTCTCGCCACAAGGCAAGGTAGTGAAAGATGACAAGCACACGCCTGTATCAAGATTTCGACTACTGCGGCTCGATGCTGGTGGCAACTTTGCACCTTGTTGTGGGTGGATGGAGGAGAGAGAGAGAGAGGACGGGACAAAAAGGGAGAGAGAACAACAACACGTTTCAATGTTTCACCAAAGTCTTGCAGCCCCCTGGTGTCCCCTTTTTTTTCTCTCTTTCTCTTCGAAAAGCACGAGTTTGATCGAGCGCAACTATCTGGAATGGGACAAGGCCAAGGCAAAGGCAAAACAAAACAAAACGGAGGAAACAGCACGGGAGAACGAGAAAGAAGCGAGGTAACTCTCGCCGTGGTATCGTGACGAGATTACTCTTCTTGTGATACACGAGCCTAGACTACAGGACCTAGCCTGTCTCAACCATGTACCGAGCTGGTGGGCTTGGGTAGTTGATGAATAAAGGGAGGCCAAGATCTCTCGCACTTGCGTGTAAGTGCGAATAGCTTTTGTGTTTGTGTAAGATATGTGTCAAGGCAAGGCTTGCCAGTACACTGTACTTGGACGGCCCAAGCGGCACGAGACAACAGTCTGCAGTAGTTTCCGGACCACAACGCGCTTGTCGGAAGCAGCCGGACTGTACCCAAGAACAGGTCAAGTTGTCGCCGTGTAGTCAGTCGGCGTTGAGTTGCACAAGCCTGACTGCTGCTCTGCTCTGCTCTGCTCTGCTTTGCCGAAGCTGCCAGCGGACGTCTAGACTAGTTCTGGTCCCGCAGATGCCGCGGATGCTGATGCTCAGGCCTGTAGCTCTTCTGCTGCTGCCGCTGACGAGATGCTGCTACCGTCGGTCCTGCTGGTGAGCAGGCAATGGGAGAATGCGCTCTCTGCTGGATGCAAGTCTCATGTAGGCGTTGATGCGGTGTCGCCTTGGACTTGCAGCGACACTGCAGAGACAACAGCCGTCTGTCTGTCTGTCTGTCTGCTGTCGTCCGCCGGCCTTGTCTAGCGTCTGCTTCTGCTTCTGCGCCTGCCGTTTGCTGCTTGGCTATTCGTCGTACGGAGAGCTCAACTGCTCTTCTCGCGTCTGCGTCTGCGTCTGCTTGTGCTTCTGCGTCTGCCTCGCTTCTGCGTGTGCGTGTCTGCGTGGCTGCGAGATGACGAAAGCGACGACAAGCCGCAGCCGGGCCCGATATTGAGGCCCAAAGCCCGGGGAAAATCGAGGACAAATGGACGAGAAGACAACAGAGATGTGAAGAGAGAAGACGCTGCACAACGGTTGCCGAGCTGAGAAGTAGAGTCCGTCGGTCCCGAGGTGAAGCGGATGAGATTGATGGCCTTGCGTTCAAGTAAGAGTTGAGGTTGGGTTGTCAATTGGAAGCAGTCTGAGGTGGACAAGCGCACGCCCTGTGGCTCAGCCAAGCGTTGCTGCCTCCGTCGTCACTGCGCTCCAGTGGTGTTAGTGCCCGTTAGCACCAATGCTAGCACTCCAGCGCTGATCCATCGCCCGTGAACCTCGCTATAGCAGCCCATGAACTGCCATCAACAGCAACTGGGCGTCCAATGTCTTCCATGTTACCAACTGTTGGAGTACAGTAGATCAACCAACTATAGTGCCTTGATGCGGTGCGGGGATAAGTTCAAGGTAAAGGTAGGTACTGAGCGGTAACTGTACGAAATCCCGCCCTGTGCCCAGTACCACCAGACCACATGCACCGGTGCCATCAAATCAACCTCTCCTCCGTACTCCGTGCTCTGCTCAAGTACCCGATACCTTTTCTCCCATGCGCGTCCGATGGCGGGGGTACCTGGCATCGATCAGTGGAGCTCGCTACAAAACACGCAGCCGCCGTGCCAAAGCCGCTAGCGATGGTGAGATGGCGCCTCCGGTGGGCTCCGCTAGGCGCTCCGTCTAGTGCCAGTGCTGCTTGTGCCCCTCAACATCAAGTATCGTGCCATCCAGACGCCGGCGCGGACCAAGTACCGAGTACTCAGATCATGCCACTGCCTCCCCCGAAGCTCTCAAGGGGAGAATTGCGAGATGCAGAGCCGGCACCTTGACCCTGGCAAGAGAAAGCGAAAAGAATAATTGCAATAAAAATGGAAAAGAAAACTCTGTACTCGATGGGGATCAACCTTGTAATTCCTCGCACTCCATGCCTAAACGCGGCCGGCCATGGTGCCAGAGCTCGACGCGGCTGGGCCACTTACACGGCCTCCGTCTCGCCAAAGGGTAGCAAAACCCGCCCTCAAGCGGCCAAAAATCCCTCCATCAAGGACTCGAGTGTTTTCGACATGTCCCACGGGGTTGCTTCATCGTGTAGAATCATGAAAAAATTCAAAGGAGAGCTCACCCCGTCACCCTCGGCCGGAACCAACCCAAAAGGATGAGGCCCGAGGCTGACAAGACGACACAACACCACGGCCCCATCCCCATCAGGCAGCGGATCGGAACAACACGAACGCATGGCATATTCCGTACCGGTACTCCGTATACAGAAAAGGTACAAGCAACGGTGGGCATCAGTCAACTCAAGCCCATCACACCGCCAGGGTTTGCTTCCATGTTTGTACAAAGACTGCCAGCGAGGCTGTGACGAGCCAAAGGTGCGGAGCAGCAACATCCCTGCAAACCACCGCCGTCACATTTGGCGCCGCCAACGTCGAGCACTAACCGTTTGATGCTCTCCACGTATCCACGCAGTCGCAGCTAGCTCAATCTTCATCTGTGTGCTTGTGCTCGTAACGGAGTAGACGCCTCGCTTCCAGATGATCGTCGTCGCGAAGAGTGTCTATCAAATCCACTCCGGTTCTCTTCTCAGCGAGACCGAAGAAGCATCGTCTTCGGGACATCTCGAGCTTTATCCGTTCCTGTCCAACTCACCCCTCATTATCAGTTCCAGGCAAAGAGGAGGGGTGAAAAAAAGAGAAAGAAAGAAAAGAGACACAACGGCACATCTCACCTTGACAACAATCCTTCCGTGTCGGCCCTCCAAAGCCAACCCCATAACCCGCCTCCTCCGCGCCGCCCCGGTTTCCCTTCGGCCCCCTCTCCCGTCCTCCTCACCCTCATCCTCTCCCCCAACTCTCTCTCCATGACGTGGCCAAGAACCCGAAAAATCACCATAACCCTCTTCCAACTAACACCCTTCCCACACCCTCATCTCCGTATCTTCGACCTTGTCCTCGTAGGCAGCCGTCTCTGGCCATCCTCACAGATACACAATCCGCACCCCCGAACAACCCCGGTCCATGTCGTTTTCAAGTGGAAACACGGCCTCCATTTTCGTCCATCTAGCGCAATTGCACACCACCCGGCCAAATCACTCACATTAGCACTTATGCGCCCTGCAATGCTATGCCACGCACACGTGCCGCCATCTGTATGCGTCGTCCTTACCTCGTCGCCGCCTGCGCCAAAACAGCTCCGTTCGCCTTCGCCCTATATCGCGACTTGACCGTCTGGGAGAGCAGAAACGCCGTCCTGAAACCTGGCTAGTTTGAGCCTCATCTCTGGTTAGCGAGCGAAAACGATCCCTTATGCCGTTGTGTGCGTCTCTGCATCCGAAGTGTTTTTTGGGGCCAAGAAAAACAAAACCCCCCCAACCCAGACGTAGTCCCCCTCGTCTATCTTACCCTAGTCGTTCCCATTGGGCTTCAATTCTCCGGGTTCCCAATCCGTGCTCATCAGGCTTCTAGACTTCCCTTTTCCCTTTCGCCTCGGCTATCCCTGTCTCCCGGTCCGGCTGCGACAGGAGGCTGTCCTAGACTGGGGCCCCCCAAACAAGCAGACAAGCAAAATGTATGACCGTTGCTTCGCTGGCAAGGCTAGCTGGGGGCGGTAGGACATGCGTTCTCTCATCGTGACTTGCCAGCTCACACAAAGTCCACACGCGGATGGCCGATGAACAAGGAGCAAGTTGTAGTTGCCTCGTATTTTGTGAGCCAAGCCCAGCGATTCCCAAAACGATGGACCTCCGCAGCGTCGTGCTCTGCTCTTTTCCCCTTTCTGGTCCCGCGAAGCTGCCGGTGGCTATCTTTGACCCCGGACAGTTCATCGCCGCCTCGCCGCCTGCATGAAAACACTGATGAGCTGGCCATCTCCATCCAAAGCGCCTCGAGACCGGAACTCCAGCCGTATCTCATGATCCACGATATCGTTCCCCATTTGGCTACTCCTGACAAACTCATCAGAAGAAAAGGCTCTTCATCAAACAAAGGCAAATCCCTCCTCAATCTTCCCCTAGAGGCCGGCTCCACCATCCGAGTCCACGCCAATAGCCGCTGGTTGATGTCACACAGGGGATCCTTTCCTTCACAACTGCTACTAACAGGACTAGCATGGAGTGCGTGTATGTCTTTGAGCCTCCGGCAAGGCGGAGCCTTAGATCCGCTGGGCTTAATTATCTGGCCAGCCTTAGCGCGAACGCCCTGTGTTAGTTGTTGCACACCCGTCTCAACCAACACCAGTCCATCTCGTGCAAACAAAAGGCCATCATCGTCGACGTCACCGGTAGCGTAGAGAGTGATTGGAACCTGTACATCCCGTCATCCACCTAAGCGTCTCGGAAATTTGCTTCATATGTCGGGCGTCGCATCGTCC